ACCAAACTGGAGGTCATTCCTGGCATCCCTGTTGTTTGTTTTTTTTGGGGTGGGGATGGGGTGGGTGGGTGGGTGGGTGGGTGGGTGGGTGGGGGTGGGGGTGGGTGGGTGGGTGGGTGGGTGGGTGGGTGGGTGGGTGGGTGGGTGGGTGGGTGGGTGGGTGGGTGGGTGGGTGGGTGGGTGGGTGGGTGGGTGGGTGGGCATGAGCACGTAAACATGGAGCTCTCTCTCTCCCTCTCTTTTTACGTGTCAGTGTATAATATATATATACATATTAAATATGTCTCTCTCTCTCTCTCTCTCTCTCTCTCCTTCCCTCTCTTACTCTCCCGCTGTATTGCCAAACATGAGGGACATTACCCCAACATTCTGGGGAGGGGTGGTGTGGAGGTCCTGGTGATGACCATAAAATTTAAAAATGGAGGTACTCCGCATGTTGTTTGGGTACATGCTCTAGCTCGGTGGTCATGACAACGAAAAAGATGGAGGAATCCCCCAAGTGTTTCTGCATCTATTTATCTAGTGATTCATGCATGTATTAATTTATTGCTGCTTTTGTTTTTTTTCAGATTTGTGTTTTTTGGTAGTTTCTGTCTTGCTGTTTTCGTTCTTTGCTTCTTTGTTTATTTGCTATTTATTTTGAGCATGTTTTCTCTGTTTCTTTGTTGCTTCCGTTTTGCTGGGGGTGGTCATGACCATTCAAACATGGAGGTCTCTCTCTCTCTCTCTCTTTCACTCACTCCCTCCATTGCCAAAAATGGGGGCGGGGGGTCACTGCACCAACAAAATAACTATAGGCAAACTACCCCATGCCGACATGAGGGGGCATGGAGGCTCCGGGCAGCAATTTAGTAGCAAACATAGTTGAAGGCCTCACAATTGTGTGCACAAGACCCAGTTTGGTGGGGAAGCTACCCATAAATCGCCTGAGGAAATTCCCAGAATAGCGCAACCGTCTTGAATGGGACAGCCCTGCCTAGGCGCAGTAACCCTGGCTGACATTCGTCAAAACCGCCCATGTGAATTGTCAGGTTGCAACTTGCAAAGATGAGGAGAAGTGAAGGGTTGCAAGGTGCCGTCAACAAGCATCATAATTGTGCGCTGCCTTGCCTGCACTCACGCCATCTCTAGCAGTCAGCGGCGGCAAAGGCCGAGAGTGCGGGTAAGGGTCACCCACAAATGCAAGTATTGGGCCAAGTACAAGTTGTACATTTCGGGCACCCTGATGGGATGGATGCAGAAGAAGGACTCTGGATCACATTTATGAAGCAACACGAAAACGCTGGAAGCTGCTCTGCTCTTCGTGGTGCTCCTGACAGTCACAACGCCCCATGTCCGGACCCCAAATCCGGCTCAAACGACAACTTCCGAGCTGGGCGTTCAAATTGACCAGCTTTGGATATTCTTTGGATACGCAAGTGCCGCCCGAACGCTGCTTTAGCATACACAAGGTCTCTTTTGGCTTCATCACGGCTAATTCGCCCAGGTAGGTGTGCTTCGGGTTGCGAATAGGGAAACGTTTCGCACCAGGAAGATTGATGGCTTGCCATGGTTGGTTGCCTTTGGGTCTTACACGATTCCCCTGCTTACCAAGTACAAAGTGTTTTGTATATCTCAGGCAGCCGAGTTGAAACAATTAAGCAGCCCGCAGGTTTCCACAGGGCACCTTCAAACCTCCAAATGAAACTCAATCAGGAATTGGCAGCCAGATGGATCTAAACTACCCAACAACTAGATGAAACTAGCACCTCTGTTCCTCCGTCCCCCCCCTTCCCATCATGCCACAAGCGATGCCGAGCGTCGGTACGGCCAGCGCGGCCGACCACCCAGGCAGCCACCGATGACGAGACCACAAACCTGTTGGCGAGGATCCCAAAAAGTTAGACCTTTGTCGCCACAGGGGATGCGGCAAATTTCTGTAGACTTAACTGATGGCAATGGCGGCTTTGCCCATTCCAACTTTTTGCCATGGTCGGAGAGTTTGTTTACGGGATAATCTGCAGGAAGTTAGGGCCAAAAGCAGAATTCCGGAAGATGTTCCTGCTACTCAAGTGTTTCAAGAGCTGGTGCTAGTGGTCGGGAAATTGCTGACCAACTGCCAACTCGAGTCTCTTGACAGTTGCACTCTTCTGATGTCGTAGGTCAGTCTCAGAGTTTATACATTTAGACGGCCAATTAACCCACCTAGACCCAGCCCAAACCAAACCCTAAACCCGTCCTAAGCAGGTCCAACAACTCGAACACCAGAGAAGGTCATCAAGCAACATCCCATTACGACAAGTCCAAGCGGCAGCACAGAGGCGACGCTCTCTTCGTCTTGTGGCCTGGGCACTCGGTGAGTGGGCAAAGCAAGGTACAGAGCAGCTGCAAATTATACAATTCCAAAACCTGACGCTGAAACCAGCAGTTCGTCCTCGTTTAAGCCCCCAAAATGAGCCCACCCATGAAATTGGTAGAAGGATTGTCAGGGAGCCAACTTTTGGGAGTCTCCGAGGCTACAAGGGTATTAAGAGCGTCAGCCTACCCTGAGCTGATCCAGGCACCCCCCAACCGGCCATGAGCAATTCTCGCTACTTATCTTAGCTCGTTGGTTGGTGGTCCACTTCCCACGCTCAGGTCACCACAGTCTTTCCTCCACATCAGAACCTCGGAAGGAAATGCGCCGGCCTCAAAACGGCCTGGCTCAGGTTGGGACCCGCTTAGACCAGCTCAGTCTTTCAAAAAAAGGGGTCGATCGGCATGGTGTTTGGGGCGGCCCTGACAAAGGCCATGGTCAAGCAACCCCAACCCAAGCCACAAGGAACATGAGAGTGCTCGGCGGCCCCTGGGAAATACCACACAATGGGGGGTGCAAGCGCCAGTAAAGGCTGCATATCCCTGGCTCCGTTGATATGACGACCATGTAGAATACCACGTTAAAAAGTGATGCACACAACGCCATGTGAAGTGAGAAACCTATGCATGCAAATTCTTCAGGTCTTGCCTTGGAACAGGTAGAAGCCTAGAGCAACAATCTGACTTTACCTGACCACAACATTAGACAGACTCGTGAGCAGGCAGCATTGACTGCAATCCTATACCCAAAGGCTCCATACAATGGAACCCTTCTCCCATTTGCCCGTGATCCTGGTATGAAAAAAATCACCCGGACAAATTGGCGTCTGTGGGTTCAGGCCCTCGGCTCGAAGCCTGCGAGGTAGGGTCCGGGCCAGGGCGCACGGGCGTGGAGCTCCTGAGGCTTCATTCCCAAACCACCCGCCCCAAACCACCCGTGACCCCCTTGTGGATGGACAGAACCCTGCGCCTAAGAGAAATGGAGCTATACAAGTATGGGGATAAACCACTTGTAGGTGGAGGATTCGTCCATCCAAATGTCATTTTCAACAAATACATAGATGGACTATGGTGAACCAATAGAGGAAATTGAGACCAACAGCTTTTTATGTTTGAAGCAAACAAAGGATCGCCAAATAGCATGCTTGAGAACAGCAAGCGCAAGTCCAAGCAAGTTCATGTCAGAAGCCGTTCGTGCAAAGGCAAGCCAGGGGCAGTGAATCTGTCTGTCGTCGTGCACAAACAATAGCGAGAACCATGGACAACTATTGTCATAATTGGTCGCAAAGTACTGCCAACGCCAAATTGCCAACAGGGGACCAACAAATTGCAGCTCCCCTACCTCACTTGCTCAACAAAGGGAACTATACCACTTTTGGATAACTTCTATATGGTCAAAGGCTGTGCCCATGTTCTTTTCGGTGCCAAAATTCTGTGCCGTTGTGTCACACAATCAGCTCTGGGGACGTCTCAGTGCAGCATCAAAGTCATTCGCGGCTTGGTTGAGTACCTGAGTTCGAAGACCTGATGCCAACTACGCACATTTTTACAACAAACACAAACACCTCCCTCTCTTTACACCATATATACTACTGGCCGAACCATCTTGACCCATTCGGTGTGCAGCATATACCAACTGAGTTTCCTCCAGGCTGCAGCTTGCACCTTTTTGCCATCTGCATGCATACATTTCGCGGAACTCTCCAGCAGAACACTTCCACGGAGCCGAGGAGGAAATGGGATCTGACATGCCACATAAGCTACACGTCTGAAACACAAGAGATGTTGCGTAGGAAAGACACCAAGCTTCAAATTCATCGCATCCACTGGCTGCATTTCTCCTTGCGACAACTCCAACGAAGGGACGATACTTTGCCTTTGCTTCATGCGAATGGCCAATCAACCTGGCGGCACGAAGGGCAACCAAGAGCCGGGAGAGCCCAAGGCGAGCTGGCTTCGTTCCAGGCGCATCCCACGCATCCCATCCCCCACCCGCTCACGGAGCGGGCGCCTTGAGACTCATTTAACTTAAACCGCCAGGCCCAAGGGTTGTTGCCCCGACGGCCCGAGCCGAGTGGACTGGACGTTGCAAGCCGCAGCAAATATCATGTCTCTTTGCCGGGTGGGCCAGTCCAAACCACACTGCAAACAACGTACCAAAAGTGTCTCAAATAGACCAACTAGAACGGAACATGGTCAGAAAGGACACTCTCTGCACATCCTTCGCCCACATCGGCGCCACGTGGGACGCCGGCAACGTGCTTCTGCCGTGGTCCCATTCCATTTGCGGGCTGGGCGGCTCCCATTCACAAAAACGCAATCGGGTCATTATGTGAGCTGCCGGCCAGGCTGAGTTTCAACATGGGAGCAACCCTGCCCGCTTTCAGTGACCTTTCCCAGGGTGAAGTGGAGTGCACGCCAGAAACGAGAAGAAACATCACCACATTCCCACTCGTCGCATTTCAAGTTGAGCAGTTACACGAGAAAGGCTGCATATTCGAACATCTGCCTATTGGCCTTTGCCCCATTGCTCCACCCCGACATTGGAAGATGCCGTAAGTCAGGGGACCCTAAGCGGGTTCTAATAAACAGGTTCCGGCTTGACAGTGACCGTAGCATTCAGTTGGAACCCATTTGTTGGAACCCAGAGGTCACGGGAGGAGAGACTAATCTTCCTCCGAGTTCTGCCGAGCCATTCCGCGGCCCTTCCCTTTGCCTCTTCTTTCCTGGTCCTTTTCTCGGATCTCCTCTGAGAGGGCGGGGTCAAACCTGGCTGTCCGCGACCATGTTTCTATTTTTACTTGTGCACCCCGGCAAAAGTCAAGGATGCACACTGCAAAGGAGGCCCCCCCCCAATTGACCAACCAGCTTGTGAATTCCGCCTTGTGCCAATGGCTAAGTGAGAATGGTCATGGTAAACAGTGTCCCCGTAAATTTCAATCGCGCAGACATGCCTGACTTGCCCGAAGTTGCTCATCTAACGCTAGAGACAAGAGTCTAACATCGATTTGAGAAGGCTGGCAGAGAAAGCCTGTCACGCACAAATGAGACCGACCCGGATCACTGCATTCATCCAATCGGTGCCCCTGAACCTCTGAACCAGGTCAACCTGCACTCACTCTGGAACCAAAGCCTAAGGTCATAGAAGGTAACCTCGTACTTCCAACGAACCTCAGTGAGTGAAATTGAAGATTGACGCCAAGAAACTTCTGGAGCAGCGTAAAGACGTAGGCAGTCCACTTGCGCACGGCCCCACGGTCCTGCGGAAGAACAGCTTCGACCATGCTAGCTGCTCTCCCGTGGACAACCTCAATCTGCGCGTCTTCGAAGCCTGTGACCAACTACCCGTCAAACAAGAATCTGACACCAATACAAGCCACTCAGATATGGCCCCTTTACTCTGCATGATGCAATCGATTTACTCAGTCCCCTACAACACCTAGAGTCCCTGATACTTCATGATGCCTCTTCTGCAACTTCATGTCGCGTTGCCTTCAGCTCGCATATTCCGTGTGGGCGCCTTCGGCTTTTGCGTGAGCGATTACTTCCTCAGTTAACATTTGCCGTTGCCAAATATCAAACTGTCGGGTACAATGTTGACCCCCAGATTAATCAGCCCCAGTTCATTAACAGGGGGTGTTCCCCTCCAAGAGTGATTTCCCACCAAATTTCAGGGACGGCCCCCTAGTACTATACTGGGGTTGAGTAATATGGGGTCAACATTGCGTTACTTGATCCCGGGGTGCCACCTTGGAAGAGCATGCCGAATCGGCGTGCGAGCCTTGGGATTCCTAATCGGCACTAGGCATCCCATCGAGACACCAACATCTTGGATTCCTATTGCGAGACTCGAGTCTTGGAGGATGTAAATTGCGAGTCGCTATCAAATGACACAACAAATGGCTTCCCCTGCGATGTAACAAGCTCATGGAGTTGCGGAGGCATGTGCATGAGTCGCAACGATCGGAATATAGGAACAGATTCACATCGCTCAAAGCCGCGAGAGCAACTCTTGGCTATGTTCAAACACGAGCCAGGAGGAGACCAATTGTTTGTTGGGTCTGCGCACTGCCACATCAAAGTTGCTCATGTCAGCAAGGCCTTACATGCATGTATAAATACATAAAAATATAATTACTTGCCTACGGAATTAGTAACTGATTGGTTCGCATATAATGTACATTTCGGAACGTCTTTTTGTCAAGGACACGCTGGTTGGCAACACTTCTAAAGGCTTGTGCACGGCCTCCCTTCGAGCTAAACCAACGCACATCTAGTGCCTTCGCTAAGCCGCTAAGCGCTAAGAAAAAGAGCCCCGAGCCGCTCCTTGGAGGAGGTGTATTTCAGGACCATATCCATGGCCTCCTGGAACCTGGCCGCGGAGATTTTAAAAAAGAAACGAGTCCGGAGAAAGGGAACCCGAAGGGCCGAAGGGTGGCTTCCTTGGCAGACATCTACAAAGACAACAGCTAAGGGTAGACGCAAAAAAAGGCGCAGAATTAGAGGTTGAGTGGTTCAATGGTACCCTCTGTTGTCCCATAAAGAGTGGCCTCAAGAAAAGGAAGCGCACGCATGCACAAATATTATGGTGAAGACTCCGACGTTTGGTGGTGGCATGGCTTTCGCTTGGAAGGCCTGGTTGGCTACCATCCCCTCAAAGCTCTCGCTGCCAACTGGGGTAAAACCTTGAGATGTGCTTGATTGCTTCCCATCACGGCCCATCCCCTGAAAACGCCCCGACTTTAAAGGGAACTCAGTTTGAAGCCCATTAACTGCAAACCCTGCCCCGCACCGGCAGTGGCAAGTGGAAACTGACATGGCCGCAGTATAACGTAACGAAGTCACTTCACTATACAAACGCCTTATCCCCCCGAGCCCTCTCATCCAGACCCACTGCAGTGGGTGCAACGTGCCAGATCCTCCCTCCCTCAGCTAAACTCTTTGAAGCTTCCGAACAGCCAGTCCACAATAGAAATGCTCAACGTAACACAGTATTGCACAAAGGAAACCCAACAAAAGTAAAAGTGATAAAACCTGCCATCACGACAAGAAAGGCTCCCAAGCACAATATTTCGCCAATAGGGCGACAACCGGCCAAGAGCAACGCAACACCACATAGCAGCAACAGACACGTGGGTGGGTGACCACAAGGCAAGACAAAACAATAAGCCAAAACGTGTTCAGCAAATCATTGCTAAGATGAATGCCAACCCCAACCTGTATCGGCAACACTGAAACAGTGCCTAGTAGGCACCCAAGCTGAGAGTGGGCACCCTTCGCAATAGGCATTGATGCGTCGCAAACAATCCTTCGCCCTTACCTATATGTGTTGCAAGTCCTTGCAACGCACGCGCACGCCCACACACTCATTCACTGGTCTCAGTCATTGGTCAACTGTGTTGACTCAGACCAATAGCAAGAAAAGCTAGTCAAACAAAAATGGACAAGTGCGTCGTAGAAGTCATGCAGTCATACTGTTGACTTCCATCAAATACTGCAGAGGGTGAAGCAATGATGACACGCGCGCTGAGCGTAGAAAAAACATACGTGCTGGCTCACAAGGCTGGAAACGTCTTTCTTCCATCGCCGGGCCGCACCAGTCACAAGCCCCCGGTCAAATGCATGGAATAAAGCCGTCGCACCCCATCAAGCATGTTAACCCTAGAGCATAGACAAGGTGCAGCATATGTAGTTTGCAGCAAGTGCATGGTTCCCCTACGTTCTCACACAAAGCCAACACGGCTCGGATCACGTCCGCGGTTCACAGAAAAGAATAGCAATAACAACAACAATAATAGTCGTGATGTCTGATTCTGCTCACTCTTAGATACAAATCAGTTTTGGAGACCCCAGAAGGCTCTCCATGTTTCGCCCATCCGCCCATCCGCTACCCGAACTGGCCTGGAGCCGCCGTCCGCCTTATCCCGGGACCGCAGCTCCCCCAAAAAGCGCCGGGCCACGAAGTCGAAGTCGGAGGTGCGCAGCGGCCCGTCGTGGCCGCTCAGCGCCTCGCTTGCTCGGTGGACCCCTGAGATGGGCGCCACGAGCCGTGGGCTCGGGTAAAATCGGCAAACTGGAAGCAGGGCTTGGAGCAATTCTATGGTTTTTCCCCAGGCAAGCTGAGAAGGGTAGCTGAAAAGGGTACCCCTAAAATTCATCTTCACAGCATTCGGGGATGGGAAATGAAAGGTGAGTATCCAGTGAAACCCCTACTGCCTTAGGTCGAAGAACGATGGCTTACCACTGCACTTTGGCAGTCCTTACCGCCGAGCCCGAGTCGAAAAGCTCCTGGCCTCACTCCAGGAGTAAGCACTGCAAAGGCGGTTGACCAAAGCCAAATGAGCATTTAGAAAAGCAGATGCGCTTTACACAAAGCCTGAATGAAACGGCTTCAGCCTGAATGAAACGGCTTCAGTGCACATGCCAAGGCACGCGTCAGCCTGAATATGCGCGCGCTGTGACATGGCAGGTGCCCAGCCGGAGGTTAGAAACAACTACACGTGGGTGTGGCAATCAAGGAGGGAAGGGAGGTCATAAACACAAACTAAGAGAAAGGGAAGGGATGGAGGAGGGGGGAGGTCACCCGGTGCAGTTCCAACATTCTATGCATAAAAAGGCAGCTCTAATTAGTCAGTATGGAAAAGGCCTCTCACGTCTAAGTCAAACCTCCACTTGCCAGTTGCCCAAAGGGAACGTGGGGAACCCAACAAACAAAAAGGTGAAAAGGATGGAATTCAATGGTCATCTCTTTCGTTCGGCCTTTTAGGCGCGGTCCGCGGTATACGCTGACGGCATGTCTGTTGGGTGGGTGGGTGGGTGGGTGGGTGGGTGGGTGGGTGGGTGGGTGGGTGGGTGGGTGGGTGGGTGGGTGGGTGGGTGGGTGGGTGGGTGGGTGGGTGGGTGGGTGGGTGGGTGGGGGCTCCACAGCGCCAGAAAAAAAACATCCGGGATCGGCTTAGAGCAAAACACGCCCAGCACCTCCTCCAGGGCATCGTCCACATCGGCGCTGCCCTTCTTGCCTCGGCCCTTGCCCTTGCGCTCGTTCCTCGCGTCCGGCACGATTTGCAGGTCAAGTCGGACATCATACCGGCAGAAGTTCTTGGAAGTGACAAGTGCCCAAAGGAATGGAAAGTGCGCCATTTCAAAAAAGAAGGTCTCAAGCACATCCTTAAGCTGATTGCGGAAGAGGTGCCTGTCTCGGTCTGGGCGCTCGAAGCGCTCGTTGGATCGGTCCCGGTGATGATCACGGTCCCGGTCAAAACGGTCGAAGCGGTCCCCACGGTCCCCACGGTCGCGGTCCCGATCAAAGCGGTCGCCGCGACCCTCACCTTTGTCACCTGGGCAGTAGTTTGCACGATGGGCAACGTGCTTGCCTATAGCCCCTTGAAAAATAAGCCTACGGAGTATCCCCAACAGCAAGCTCCAGAACCCTATGGAAACCTAGCCCAGGGCCGCTCCCAACCACGCCGGATTCGATCTGGACAGAGATCCCATAGATCCGCATGGCTTTCAGCTGTCTTCAACAGAGCAGGCAAGTTGCATGGAAAGCTCTGCCAGACAAAGTAGGCCACCCTTATGGAATACTCAAGCTGGGTCATCTAAGGAAGCACCTCTGGCTTCCTGGCACTGGCCTGCACCTGACTTTAAGGACCGCTCATTAATTAGACATGCTATGAACGGAGCAAGCGCGACAGAATTACATTCAATATATTCAATTGCAGCGTCGCACCCATACCTGGACCCTCTGGCGGCGGAACTTTCAGCCGAAAAAGCAACAAAAAAACCGCCCGCGAGTAAAGAAAGCCGAAACGCAACAAACACTCCGACACGTTGAAACCTGCTTCCGCCGATGTCCCGCCCGGTTTTCTGCTGCAACGGTTTCGCAAATAGCTCCATGATGGAAGAACCACCACCACGTGCAAAAAAACACAAACTGCCAACAGCCAAACAACACCTTTCTGCAAAAAGGCAGAAACTTCTTCCGATTTGGGTGGTCCTGGCATTGCCGAAAGCACGCAACACGTGCGAACTGAAACGCTTCCACGCGAGCTTCTAAAGCTGGAATGCCTCCTTAAAAGCACGCACACTCTGCTCATGCCTCAGAAAGTTTCCTGGCATCGTGTGACAAGTCCAGGGCAACACACGTGGGCTCTTCACTCCGTTGCTGCCCCTGTTGCCACAAGGACGTCTATTTTATGTATTGACCTGGATGCGAATTCAGAAAGCGTTCACCGATCAGGAAAGATCAGTAAAGTAAAATTGAATCAAATGCGTGGATGCACACAAAATGAAACAGGCGTTGATGTAACATGGGGCGTGGATAAACTTGTTCACGATGATTCTGCTGCGCGCAAAAGCTCGTCACCTCGCCCTTGTGCTTATGCAATCTCATTCCGAAGGCTTGCAATCCAACCTTACGGAAAATCAACTCCAAGTGTTTGATGCTTCACGAGCTGCGTCGACAAGCTTTGAAGCTGGTGCGTCAATCCTAATGAGGACTTGGATGCATCCAGTCAGTGGGCACCTGCTCTTGACTTCACTACTAGTGGGAAACAACAACATGAGCATTGTGCAGCCTCCTTACCGCCCACCCACCCGTCCGCCACCCACCCGGCCAGCCCAGCCGCCCGCCCGCACTCATCAACGGACATTGACACAGAGGACATGCAAACACATGCGCACATGCACGGCGCCACCAACCATCTCTGCCGGGAGTCGCTATGAAATTCATTGCCAAGTTGCCTTTCTCGCCCTTCTTCCCGGCATTTGCCATGCGTACCACGATATTGCCGCCCTCAAAAGGGCGGTTGTGGAAGGTCAACGCCTTTTGCGCCTGCGCCGGACATTAAGCAACTCTGCCCCGGAACTCAAAATAATTCATTGCCACATGAACATGTGTGTTTCTCTGCAGTTTGATTCGAATTGATTACGTGAGGCGATGTCAGCTCTCTGTCTCTCGCTCTGTCTCTCTCTCTCTCTCTCTCTCTCTCTTTTTTTTCTCTCTCTCTCTCTCGCTGCTCACAGCCGCCCTCACGTCTTCGCTTTTTAACTCACATGGTAAGCCAGCGCCAGCTTTTCATTTGACCTCTCGGACCTATCGGCAGGTGGCCGCCCACGGTGGCCAAAGAGCAAAGCTGTCATCCCGCCAAGACGTTGCATGCCGATGAGACTGAGTTTGTGGATCCCACCCTGACTGTTATAGGCCGATGCCGCGGGTATTCAGTACACGCAAGTTCATCAAGTTGTGCCAGTGTGATGGGTCTGAACCCCTCCCCAAAAAAACAAACAAACAACAAAAACAAAAACGAGTAGGACGCGTCCGGGCCAAGCACAAACAGAACTGGCGAGATAAATAAGCCTCGCGAGAAGTAATGGAAAAGTAAAGATGGCCGAAGGGCCTCATAGAACAAAACTTGCAGGTGAAGCTATGCTCAGGCGTGGAATTCGTACGGGGCGTGTGAATTCCCGAAATCAAACCTGGAGTTTCTTGAGTCTACAGTCATGGATCTGCTAAAGGGACTGCCTGTATGCTTGGGTGCGCTGCCCCCAAACATGAAACATGCTCGTGGAAAATGCCAAGTCAAACTCGAGACTCTGCTGATTATAATTGATAGGTCACGTCCTCAGATACAATTCGCCCCACCCCGAAATAACAGTTTGACCGTCACGAACGTGCTCAGAACCCAACCATTGGCCCATCCCTAGATTGGGTGCTTAATACGCTTAATAGTGGGTCGGGGAAAAAAACACATGCATCCGCATATTGTACCTTTAGGGGAAAGCAACAATCAAACGTGACCTGTTTCAAGCAATATTCGCCCAGTATTTAGAGGCCCGCCACCCACCAGCTACGCCGCATGCCTGATCCTCTGTCCGAAAGGTCACGAAGCAAACACCCTTGGCGCTGCCATCCGGGTTGCGAAGCACCTTGAGGCGTTCCACGTCTCCAGCCTGGCCGAACCAAAGCTCCTGAGGGCCCCTATCAAAATACTTTGCCCCCCCATGGATTCTCAGGGGATCCTGGCAAACCACGTTTGGTGGCTTTCACGTTAGTGGACTGGGAAGGGCTAGCTTCTCTTTGTCTCGAAAAAACGATAGGCACCAACAAAACATTGAGGGGTAGGGAGTGCTGATTGCTGAGTCTTTTCGCGATGCCAGGAAATTGCCCAGCGAGATGCTCACCCAAAAGAACGAGTGTCTTGCATGCTGCTTTCGTCCTGTCCGTCCTGACTCTTGTGTGAAGCAATGCGTCATCTGCGTGTTTCCCGGGTTTGTGGCTAGTTCTGCCGCTGTCGCGTATGCTGTGGGGTATAGAATGTTAGCTTGGTTTGCGGCTCGTTGCTGGCTTCATGGGGCAAAAAACGCCAACAACTGCAAACAACACGCCAAAAAACCAGGCAACAAAGCTAAAGTGGCGCAAAACATTACTGCGGACAGCACGCCAAGGCATTATTAGACAAAAAAGCACACACACACACACACACCACCCCACAGCACCCCACAGCACCTCACAGCACCTCACATGACATCGCATGACATCAAATCACATCACATCACGTCCCACACAAACGTAACCTCAGATTGCATCACATCACAACACTGCACATCATCACCTCACCTCGCCTCACATTGCACCACATCGCATCACATCACGGCACATCACATCACATCACCTCACCTCATCGCAACTGACCTTATCTCACCGCACCGCACCTCACATTACTGCAAATCACAGCACGGCACCTGACCTCACCTCGCCGAAGCTGACCTGACCTCACCCGCCTCACCTCACATCGCAGCACGTCGCAGCACAGCGCATCACATAGCAACTCACATCGCATCACAGAACATCACAGCATAGCAAATCACAGCACATGACAGCACGTCAAAGCACATGACATCACACCACAGCGCAGCGCATTACATCACAACACATCACATCACTCCACCTCACCTGACCAGACCTCACCTGTAGGGTCACTAGGGTCCCACCAATTGTGCTGTGTTCAAAAAGAAGCCTTTGGATGGTGCTTGCCGGCGTCAAGGCAACCCAAAAGAAACCAATAATTTCGATGGTCTCGCCAATTGAGGACACGCATGGTGGAGAAATCATTGGCTGCTCCCAGTTCCAGTAGAAAGCCCCCCAAACGAAACGTGATGCCGCAAGGCTTTGGAAGCCACTTGCTGAGCTCGGCCCGAGATCCAAAAAGGGGTCCTCCATGTTGTGCCCACGTTAGGGATCCCTCCCCGCCATGCTTAAGATTTGCAGGGTCCCCCCAACTTTTTCAAAGCAACACCTGAGCAGCTTCCGGGCACAAATTGTTCCGGGGGCCCGGTGCGCCCGTCACCATGTCTGCAGCCCCCCCGAGGCCGTCGCAGCCGTCGCCTGCTCGAAGAAGGCCCGCAGGTCGTCCTCGTGGGCATCCGCCACGTTGGCCACGAAGACCTGCTTGGGGTCCGCCTCTCGCTCCTTGCCTCGGACGCTGGGACCCGTAGGGTGGGGTGGGCATCTCCTGGGAGACTCCCTCCTGGTTTGGGTTCGAGGGGGGTCTTGGCGCTTCGAATATCAAGGGCTGTTTCCAGGTATGGCTTCCATCCCGACAGGCACCGCGGAGCAAGCTTATTGGCTTCTGGCGGGGTACAAGCCTGGAAATGCCGTTAATATGAATGCCTTCCTGCATTTGGGAGGGGCAAAGGGGGCTCAAAGTTCCCACTACAAATAGGGGAGCTTGCTGGGTGGGGGTGGTCTATCCCATTTGTAGGGTCTCATCCATCCCAACAACCACATATTTCCCTGTTGCATTGGGTAGGGTGTGTCGAAACTACTTGCCTCCCCAAACTCGCAAAAGGACATGGAACAACTTGTCTTAACCCCTGGCTTTCTTCGTCTTCCCCACGCCGAATTAAGGGATTCGGCCAGCCGAAACGCAACGGAACCAGCAGAAATGAGATCTGAGTTGGACGGTGTCACTCATGGAGAAGTCTTTTAACATTGTTGTTAAGAAGATATAGTTGCTAGGTACGGTCGTTCGCGGCGACGACGCAGGATAGTATTAAGCTTCAGGACTCAGGCATTTTGGCCTGAGGTTCGCTACGGTCCACTCACTGACTGGGAGGGAGTCAAACTATTGACAATGTATATGCTGGTCGGCTTTGTTCAACCCATCCAGCTTGAACATCCCACACCTGCCATCAAACCCGAACCATACGGACGAACTGGCAAGAAGCGCTTGGCCAAGCGCGCAAGCCTTGCTGTACCGAAGCGCAACCAAAAGTACATTTGCAACCAGCCTTGCATGACATGACTCAAAATGTACAGAATTATATCATGCGGCAAAGGCAACAAAACAAGGCACATCACTGGATTGCAAAGCGTTCCAACTCCCAATATGATTTACAATGCCGTGCCCTCAGGCTGGCAATGCAGCCAGGTGGCCCTTATCCTTAGACTTGCCTTTGCCTTTGCCCTTGTCATCCCTTCGATGATCTCGGTCAAAGCTGAAGTCATCGAGGTCAGGACCCAAACCCAGGCCGAAGCTCTTGTCGTCCAGACCTGCGTGTGACGCCTACCAAGGTCTCATGTATAATTTCACATTTGACATATGACATTTGTCCTGAACACAGTGAATGCCTTGCGAATGGTATGCCAGACGCAAGCTGAGGGTCAGACATTTTGACCTTCCTTCTGTGCATTGCATTTCATGGCCAACAATGAGACCCTATAAGCTATATAACTGTACGACATCAAGAGCCAAGCTCCCCGCAACGTTGTTCCAACGTCATATCATAGCAAGTCACTTGCTTTGATAACAAGGCCCAAACAGTGAAACACCTGGCCCATATAGCCCTTGGAAGACCTCATTGAAACAAGACGAATACATGTAGCCACATGTGATTGTCACAATGTATGCGCCGACACACTCAAACTGTGCAAGGACACTGCTACTGTTGGCACCCGTGATCTCATGGCGCTGGCGGCCCCATTCCAAATCAATCAATGGGGCGAGTTGTGGCCTCCGAGGCCAAAGTCTTTCAGGCCAAAGTCGTCACTCTTGCCAAGGCCGAGGTCGCCCTTGAAGTCGACCTTGCCTGCCCAAGCTGCGGGCCGAAACTCTTCGGCAAATTCCAAACTTCCAGCCGCCATACCACTCGGACTGCCCGTGAGCAAGAAAGGAATATGGTGCTTCAAACAACCCCAAGAACCTTGCATGTCAGCACTCATCTTGAAACATACGAGTCAGTGGGCTATTGTGTGCAGCTTCCATTTGCCATAGCCGCCCGCCTGATCGGGAGGATGCGACTGTTGGCAACCCAAAGGCCAAGTACTGCAAGAAACAAAGAGTTGCCCTCCTGGGCCCTTGCTATCATGGCCTTGTCATCTTGAATGCCCATGAATGAAGCACTGGCGTTTTCTCCATCTGTTTATTCCAACAAGCCAAAGGCTGAAACCCGCCGGACATCAAAGTGGGTTATGGAAGGGACATGCACCTCGCCGATCAAAACAAACTAACCGGCCTCTGCAAGACTGCTTAGCCCGGTATTTTTGATTCATTTGCAAGCTTTCAGCCAAAGTGGAATATCCTGGCCCCCTCCAAATGACCAGAAACACATTCAACCGCAACACGGCAACCAACAACAGCAGAACCAAACCTTGCATTTGCCACCTCCCCCTTCGCCTCCATCATCGGCAAGGAAGTCATCCAGCTCGTCCCTTCCAGCATCCCAGGAAAATCCGTCACGATCCGCAGGCTCTCCGCGCTTGTCTGACCAAAACTCATCGCCATAGATGTCGGCATCCTGCCCAGCTGGTTTAAACATGATGTTCCAAGGCGAAAAGTTCAGGGTCTGAATCTGGCAAAATAGAGGTCGCGGCTGAAACTATTTGGCTTGTTGTACTTAAAGGTCGAATACGGATACTGTGTCCTTAGGCTCCATGTCGGAAAGAATGGCGTGTCAGTGTGCAGTGTGCTTGCCACATTGCGATGTTGATATCGAGTGGGAAAAACATGCATGTGCAGTAGGCGTAGGCGTTGCGTGCTGCAACCTGATTTTGCAAAGACCCTGTGGTCACTACCCTCAAGTGGGAAGTCGCGACGCAAATCTCATCCGATCCAATTGAACTACTCAATACTGGGGCCTCATGCAATGCACAAATAATTAATAAAGCACACTTTAACGCATAGGTCACTGACTCAGGGAAGGCGCCCTGGAGATTCAGGATATGAAGATGCTAAACCCAAAACTCGAAAATTCGGAAATCACAGCCAGTGAGCTACCAAGACTATCCTTCAAACAATGAAAGGACAATAGCTGATTAGCCATTACAATGGCCGCTGGGATCGACAGAAATAGCCATCAATACCTTCAGGCAAGGACATAAAGCCATCGGCATCTGGGCAATGACCAGCCGCAAAGCTTTCAGTAGTATCGATTTCCGGCAAACTCAGTCGACCCATCGACCCTCTCGGCCAGTTACGCCATCCCGCGCCGAAGGCTCGGCTTGGATTCGCCAGATGTCGTCTACCAGCACGTACGCGCAACGCCCTCAATGTCGTGACGCGCGACACATGTTCCTGCAACACATTGGTCTATGTCCTGCAAAATCCGGAGTAGCATTCACACATGTCATAGCTCACAACCCACAAGCAACTGAACAACCGACATTTAGAATACACAAATCTCCCCAGAATTCCGGTGGCCATGGGAAAGCACGGCACCCCTCTTTCTTTAGGTGGTAGTTGCATCGAACGATCTAAGGGGAACCCACACACAAACAAAACAACAATGGAAGAAACCCACAGGCTCGGCTTCAAAGCCAGCGCCTGCTTGATGGACGAGCCAGCGACTTCATCCAAGTCATCCTGAATGTGCGGCTCCTCATTCTCGCACTCTTCCTAGCGAAGCAACGCTGGGTTCTAAACAAGGGGGCCTGGGGAAAAAAGCAAGTACCGGCCCCATTAGGTTTCCTTTTTGGGGACACATGTCTTTTTTGGCACTCAGAAGGCGCTGCAGGTTGAAAAGCATGTTGCGGTTTTTAGTGCCATGGACCAGCCAACTCTCGGAGACAGGCAATCGTTGATCACGTCTGAAACATGTCGAGATCCCTATTGCTTAAGAGCCTCCTTTTGGATTCCCCTCCCAAAAAGGCGTGGCCCATGACATCAAACCAGATTTGCCCAACCACTGCCCGGCCTGCTCCTCCGTCGCCTTCTCCTCCCCCTTCTCATAGACGGTGTAGTGCCAGTAGGCCAGGATTGGCAAGGCCACTGCAAAGAGGAGCAGCCGCATCCTGCCGGAAAACAAACAGTGCCACTGGACAAATGAAAACCTGACACCCACAGATTTACCCTTCAGACGGTGGGTGCAGAAATACCTTGGAACAAGTAAGGACATGACCTGTCAAAATATATTTGGTTTCAGGGCCAAACATGCACGCACGCCGAAGGGGTCCATCGTTCAGACTTTGTAGGCATGGGCATCTCGGAGTGCCTGGTCACAATCATTGGTTAAAGCCAGGCAGTTGCCGAAACACAGTCAGGTACCGCACAAAGATTCAAATCATTGACAATTGTGTTTTCCTTCTCTCGTGCGTGGCTCGCGCCTGTCTGTTGCTGTTGAGCTGACCTCCAATTATACAAGCAAATGGGGCTTCAGGCCAACCAACGGACCGTCTTGCAAATAGAGGGGTGGAAGAGGAAACTCTGCCCCGTCTCGGGCGCGCTCCAGCCTCACCAGCACGATCACCCCCAAACCCACGATCCTCAATGGTCGTTTCCGATGAGAGAGTGAGATTGAGAGAGCGTGACACCTCCGCCTAGGGAATCATGGGAAGGGGCGGCAACTGCTAAGTGAAGCCCACATTTGGCTCGTGTCGCTGAAACGGAAGACCCATGGTTCTGCAAGGTTTTATTTTGGCTGCTTCCGGAAATCTATACAGCCCTGTTCTGGTACTTCATGGCAACAACTGCCCACACCAAAATACGACAAGTTACACGGCAAATGCCGTTGTAAAAAATGCTCCGCAAGGCCCAAGCCAGTATGCGCATATTGAAGTGCATATCTATGCATGCATATCTTCGAAATGTGTGTAGAAATGAACACGCATACTGTATATATATATATAGACATATGTGCATATATCTACATTCGCCTTGAGAAGCTCTTCAAAATCTTCCAAACCCATCCAAACCCACTCCTGCCCCAATAATTCTATATACATACACAAATAATGTTGTTCATGCTCGTGTGTATGCGCAGATGTGTGTGTATTACAACTACAGGGACTATAACTTCAGCGTTTTGGGTTATGGCGCAGTCTGGCCTGTAAATATATCTTGCAACCTTAGCGCTCGATCCAAGAAGGAACGAAAAGCGGCAGACCGTCCCGTCCACACACCCGCGTCACGTGACTGCCAAGCTGCGCCCATCGCCTCAGGCCCTCGTTTTCTAAAAGGGCCATGTCGCGTTTTCCCTGCAGCCCGCTGAAGGGCCAAATGATTGCAGCAGTGGCGGCGATGTGCGTCATGTGGCTGCTAGATCAGCCAGTTGCACTGCATGCATCCCTGCACCAGCATGAAACATAAACAAAAGTTCCCAATGAATTCAGTGCCATCTGGATGCTAGGCAGTCTTCTTTGCGTGGAAATGCCCCAAAGGAGTAGCCCACTGCTGGTCAAAAGGGGTTCTGACCAGATACATCTCCAAAATCATGAGTTAAGACAGCTTGCATGACGACAGCGCCATCGCTTGCAAATCACATATTCTGATCCTCACAGCGCCAAACCAAGCCTCCATAGTCAATAGCTCAACATGTGATTTGAGGAACGCAGCCCTTAAGCACACCCATTGCTGCAAAATACTAGATGTGAGCGGTTAATTATTTGGAGAGCCGTCAAGGCTACACTTGCCTTGCGGTTCAACAATTGCATTCAAAAAATCGACATCAGCTCTGCACCAAACAAGAGAGGGCCAATGCCCATCATTTGCCTGCCATCCCCCCTTCCCAATCAAATCCTCCAAGCCCGACCCCTAGACCTGGACCGTCGAAATCGAACCCGAAACCCGAAACCCGAAAACTGAACCGCAGACCTGCAAGCGAACCAAGCCCTAAACCTGGACTCTACATCTGCAAATTTGAACCCGCTAAGCACTGCCAAGCCTTTTGCATCCGGAATCTAGAAAGGTTGTAGGCCAATGAACTGCGCAAACAACTAAAGTAGCTACTCGACATAAGGCAGTTGCAACGGGCATGTTCAAACCTAGCTTCATGATGCCGTTTACATGGTGTCGCCTACATTGGCCACTGGCCAAGTTCAAGAGGAATGAAAGAACAAACCCAGCCATCAACAAACATAGAACCGACTTGATTCACTGGGACATGGATGTCCATCAATGCGCGCCTGTTCAACTCTTTGGTTTCTAGCATGTTTCTAGCCCACCTCCAGTCACGAATTGTATGGGGGGGTATGCTTCGTGCACTCCACGAGGTGTGCACTGCACCCGGCCCGCTCCTGCTTACGCCGCTGGCTACACTTGGCAGTCTTCGCCGTGGCCAGGAATAGGAGCTGAGCGGCTCAGTGTTGGTTAGTGTTCGGGCCTGTCTGTCTCACTTCCTGCCAGACTGGACTAGCTGAAGCAAGCCTCAAACCCCGTCTTTGCAAGCCGTATCAAGCTCAGAACTGAGGCAGGGAGCTGTAACAACAATACTTTTACATTCCAGATTTGTGCGCTAGGTCCGACATGATGGAACGTTGGCACATGCTGAGCTTCGCATATTTCGGCAAAACGTGCAGCACGCAGGTACAGCACGCAGGTACACTGGCGGGCATCAAGCAAAGCAGGCTGAGTCAAGACAATCCGCAAAAAACTGGTTTGGCATGCTTAGCCTCAACTGCCTCACTGAGTAAAGAGGCTGGGCCGTGTTGAATGTCACAATGGAGGAACATCCTGGTACACGCTCGAGGCTCACCAGCCACCAGCTCAGCTGTCGAACCAATAAGCCCAGGCACCGCCCCCAACAGCAACCCCTTCCGAGCGCACAAGCCACTCCAGAGATGTGGGCAGAACGGTCGAGGATCCAAGGCTTTCAGGCCCTGAGCGCTGCACTCAATGGTAAGCCCCCCCTGGTCAGCCAACTCCTGGCCCGAAACGGAAACTGGGGATTGACCATGTTGAGTGGGAAGACCAAACAGAAAGGGAGAAATATTCCCTCCCCCCCCCCCACTGGGGGGCAGGGTGTGCATTTTTTGGAATTAGGGCCACCCAGGAAGGGGGGGGAACGGAACAAGGGCGCGAAAACACCTGATTTTGCCCTTGCAACATCAGGACGGGCATTCCTGAAAAGTGCAGGGTCCACCTTTGGGCGTGGGCCGAGAGGCGCCGCCCTCTACGACACGACATGCACAAACAAAAAGGAAACATCACTTTGATAAATCAACTGCTTGCTGCGGCAAGGATTTCGAAACTGTTGCAAAGCCTTGGCACAACCAAAGGCGTGCCAAAGCTTAGAGGTCAACTATTCACCTAGTTTGTCACAATTGACTTGCAGAAACTCAATTGTGCGTTCAAGATTGGGTTGTCTGCCAAGACTGGCCACTTGATAAACCATCAACCCGCCCAAATTGAATCAATCCACTGGCCCATAAGTTCGAAACATGTACTCACCATGCCTTGTTGGACAAGGGAATGACCGAGCCCGGTGTTGGGAATGTCCCTGAAGGGGATTCCCTTAAAGGGAACCACACGGGATTGTTTGTAAGGGTCATTTCCTCCTTGCCTCCCTCTGCATGTGGGCGCGATCCACTTCCGGAATCCAAGGCCTCTCGGTGTGACTCGTACGAGGTCCCCAAATATGCTCAGGTTCAACCGCCTGGTGCTTGCAACATGCTTTCACGGTGGCCAGTGAGTGCTGGTGCCCGGTTCCTGAGAAATGCAAAAATGGCCTGCCGCATCGGCTATGGCTGAAACAAAAGCGGCCAGGGAAAGCCGAAAGCCTCAAAGCCGCCAAGTGCAAACAAGTGACGCTAAACATGAATCAAACAAATGCCTATGCATTGAAAGGACGTAAAGGTCGTACCGGAGAAGTCCTGCACCAGTTGAAGCACCTCCATGGTCGCGTCCAGCATCTGGGGTGGAGTTCCTGGGACAAAACCCATGTGGTGCCTACGTGGCCTAAGTCCACACCAGTGAAGGGGTGTGCCATGTTGGTTGCTAACTACTGTCCTGGCTCAGCACTAGACTCACCAAACCTTGCGGACTGATTTCGGGTCAAGCCATAAGCTAGCAACTGCAAAAACCACAGTTTGGTGATCCTCAAGTAAGCGTCAGGATCCATGTTTGCTGAAGTGGCGGGTGGGGCTTCAGGCTTCAAATGCAACAATGGTACCCAGCGTGTCTCATGAGCATGTGCACTTTGTGAGACAAGCCCTCAGCTTGTCAGATGCTGGTGTTGTGCTACGTACGCTTGGAACAGCGAAGTATCAGGATGTTGGAATGCGACAATCCGGTCTTGCGCAAAGTTTTCGCAGAATTCGCCTCCATGTTGAATCTTGGCTGACGCTGTCCAAAATTCGAGGGTCTGGACCCCCATCCCCGAGGCTTCTCCAGGGGACCATGCCTTCTCAATGCTTAGATCCCTGCTAAAGGGTGCTATACCCAGACATGAACTTACTTGATGATTGCTTTCGCAGCTGCCCCCCCCTCACACGAAGGTTCAATGCACTGAGTACTCGTTCTCTTTTGGCACTGTTTCACAAGCAATCTGGGCCCCTGGGACTGGAAATGGAACTGTGTTGTTTTCCCTGTGGTCAAAAACCAGCTAGGATCCCCAAGAAATCAAGCAAAGGACCCGATCAGGCCGACGCAGAACCGGTGGGGGGGGGGGGGGAACCGCCCGAGAAAAAAAACATGGAAAAAAAGAAGAAAAAAACAGAGAAGGCACGATACTTCGGGGAAAAGCCGATGTGCGTTTTTACTGTAAGGTACCTCTTTTTTGGCCATGGGCTTTTCCCAATAGTGGACAGTGCCTTCTCATTTTTTTTAGAACAATAAAATAAAAATGAGCGAGCACGCAAAGGTTGGGGGAGCACGCACACCTGGAGAAGACCCGCAAAACCCGGAGAAGGCCCGCAAAATCCGGAGAAGGCCCGGAAAAAATCCGAGTCTGTTTTGTTTGGCGATGCCCGAGTGCAAATCCGCATCCATAGCTGCTGGTGATGCCTGTGCGGCTGCTGATGCTGGTGATGCCTCTGATGCTGGTGATGCCTCTGAACTGGTGATGCCTCAAAGTATCTAGCCAGAGCCAATGCTGACAAACCGACATGCCAACCCTGAGAAGGCACGCTTATCTGGGGGAACCCGCAAAATCCAGAGGACGCGTGTCCAGACTTCCGAAAAATGACCAGCACAGCCCGCCCTCACGAGCACGAAATGACAGCAGAAGTCTGCTACATGGAAAATGCCAACATGCATTTTCGCGACGCTTTCTCTCGCTCGCAAAGCCACAAGCTTCGCAGGAGCGGTTTTCAGACTTATTCTGCTCCAACGGCAAAACCTCAGGATTGGCCCAGCGCCTCGATAAAACATTAAAAGAACACACCATTGTTCAAGCATCTAGCTGCATCTGGAGACCTAAGCGCAGCACCTGACACACTCACGGGCTGCAGCTCAGTTCCGTTGATGTTGTGCCGGCCTCGGCACAATGTAGCGATGGACTACCCCCCGAAACAGAAATATTGCACGGTACTGAACCCGCTTTACCCCATATTTACTCGATGTGGTTTCTTTAGTTGGGGGTGTGGTGGCGAAGCTTTAATCAGGTAGTGATGAGCTACCCCCCCCAAAGCTACCCCCCCAAAAGAATAAGGGCTAGACGCTCCTTCTCAACTGCCTGAGGTTTCAGGAATCATGAGAGAGTGAGATGACGCGTGTTCCGGGCACGCGCCGCACAGGCTTCAGGGTTTCTTTTCGGTCCCTGTTTCAGCACTTTTTTTGGGCTCCTGTAAATCGTGCTATGTTTTTTGGGGGGGGGAGCTCCAGAATTGTGCAAATAGAGCAATTTTGAAGCTCCCCCCCCCAAAAAAAAATAAGGCTTGACCACGCACCCCGGGGGCCTCTTTTGGGACCGCGCCTGCTCTCACCCCTTTTGAAAAGAGGGGGCCTCTAAATGGCGCTACACATGCAGAGCAGTTGCGGTGTGACCATGGCCTTTAGGCTGCCGAAATGGCAGGGCTTATTAAGCCTTATTAAGCCTTATTAAGCCTTATTAAGCCACATTCGATAACCAGTAAATAATGCTTCTTAAGGCTTAATAAGGCATAATAAGGCTTAGTAAGGCTTTATTAGGCTTAATAAGGCTTATTCCCCTTCACGCTGCTTGGCTGCGCAGGGTTGGTGCTTATTCATTTGGGGGGGGGGGGCTTTGGGGGGGGTAGCTGCTCTCTTCCTGATTTAAGTCGGACAACATCAATTCAAACATACACTCGCTTTCACCATCAAACAAATGGAAATACAAACTAGCGGGCCACCGGAACTGTCAAAACCCCGGTGCAGGGCGACCACTGAACTCGATGTGATGCTGTCTTACTAAATTGACTAATTCAGTTGGCTTGTAGCAAAACGGAAACCCGGCCTGGACGCTTTTGGGAGTAACCATGTCGAGTGGGGACCCGCCAAAAGAGAAAACTCGTGCTGTGTTTCCCCCAGAGCCCGAGGGACATTGCTGATGGGAAGTGGCCGGCTGGAAATTGACCTGGTCAAACCCAATTCATTATGTTCACAAGAAACCAGAAGCAACCACACAGGTGTTAACGTTGTCAAGCACCCTTTGCCAAGACCTGACTTTCAACTGGTGTCCAGTGCAGTGCCTCATTTACGAGTGGCTTGGCCCAGAAAAAATCAAACCATTTGTTTCCCACTCAACTGGCACTCCCAAAGTACAAAGCTCAGAACTTTGGCTGATATTCTGGAAGGGGTGATTTAGGAAGGACAATGTTGGGGGGAAGTGAGGTGCGTCCAAGCACATTCTCATGCATTCCGAGGCGCTAATGTTGACATCCGCCCCAGTGCTCTTCACGAGCTCGCTGACTGTGTCGCCGCCAGGGCCCACAATGTGCTCCACCTGCATTGCCACAACTGAGTGACTGATTAGAAACACATCTCTTTTTTTCCCTCTCTTTTTCTCTCTGTCCTCTTTTTTCTTTGAGAGAGGGTCTACATGGGGGCAGGCCCCCGGGCCCAGCCACAGCAACCCAAGCCCTCTGAGACGGAACTGTCACCAAGGTTCCTCCCTCAATGGAGCTTTGGCTCACTGCCAAGCCGCTGCACCGGCGGGGACCACTGTGACCTCAGCACAAAGCCCGTCTCAAAAGCGCAAAACAAACATGCCAAAGAGGGTTCGGAAAAAAGACACGTCGAATACTGCACGCCTTTTGAGAATTCCGAGTAGCTTCGAGGTCACATGGTAGGTGGGTCTCTATTTTAAGGGAGCCCAACCAATGGGTAGGCTCCTTTTGGACTTCCCTACAAGCGGGACCCGAGGGCTGCCTGAGACCCAGGCGAAGGTCCCTTCCTCGTTGTCGTCCAGCTCCTGGGATCTTTGGACGATGCGGATCACCTGACGGGAGCACCAGTCAGTGGTACAGAGCTGCCTACATTTCCCCTGAAAACATCACCCCATCGAGGTCTTTCACTGGGCCAAGAAGGCGATGCTATGGACCCCTGTAGGTCAATCACAATCACCTGGCAAAGGGGGCTTAACCCAAAGAATCCAAAGGCCGGACCCACAAAACACCACTGGCCGGGACTTCCCCTGTCCAAACTCCATCCAGGTTTTGGCCCACTGGCTGTGCAGGTGGGGGGGTATTGTGGTTTGCAAAGTGCAAGGCTGCAACTCATGTTGATGTTCGCCTGTTTGGGTAGCTTCTGCTTGGGATATATGATGTGTGATCGTCTCTCTCGAATCATGCCTTCACCAACCAGCTCAAAACAAGATTTAGTGTCCCAACATTCTGGAAACATTCAAGCACACATCTGATGCGCCTGAGGGCTGAAAGGGCACTGTTGTTGGATGAACCCCGTGCGTGAGCGCCTTGAGACGCAAACGCCGGCTAAGCTGTTGGCCATTGACATGTCCAAGCGGTGTTCCATTGGACAAGGAAGCGCGCTATGCTTGATTTTTTTGGGACATAAACGCCCGGTTTTGCTACAGGGACATCTACACGTCATCGAAACCTCCTGGAACCAGTGATCTGTTGGGCAATAACCCTTCCCCGAGTGAAAAATGCGCCCTATGAATAGAATTTGTTTTCCCCACACCGCCGTGTCCCCAGTACTACTGGCTGATTTATCACCCAGCCCGACCCCAGCCAAATTGGGGGGTGGGAGAGTCTCCAGGATCCATTGAGAACCTTTCATTACAGCAAACCAATATAAAAGGAACATTATGATGAAGAAATATCTTATTCTCAAGGAGTTACCTTGGAATCCTAAAGTCATTGGCAGCTAATTCCCTTTATCTATGTTTCTTTTCTATTTGTAGCCTTTCATGTTGTAATGGTTAAGTCTCTGAGGACAATAATAAGAAAGGAAAATGAAAAGAGACAGTGAACAAGAGATAGAATAATATGAAAATGATATGTAAAAAGGAAAATATATTATTGACTGTAGTCAAGACATCTTAATATTTATTTTGCCCATATATTTTTTTATTTGTCAGTGAATTATCTGTCATTACCCTCTAGATCCTGTTCAGATGGTTTTCATTAGTTACATTATGAATTTATGTATGATTATATTATTATGTTTGGATTATGAATAAAACTTACAAATGAAGGAAGGTCATGAATCAGGATATTAAAGTAACTTATCTTTTCAACATTATATTATTCCCTTTGTCTTTACTATTAATAATAACTGTTCTATCTCTTTACTATTAATAAGACATAGATGCTAGATTTATAAATTTAGAAGCCAATGATTATTTATATCTTCCCTGTCTTTCTCTTGGACATGTTCATTAGTTATTGAATCCATAAATTACGTCCAAGAGATAGAACAGTTCTTATTAATAGTAAAGACAAAGGGAATAATATAATGTTGAAAAGATAAGTTACTTTAATATCCTGATTCATGACCTTCCTTCATTTGTAAGTTTTATTCATAATCCAAACATAATAATATAATCATACATAAATTCATAATGTAACTAATGAAAACCATCTGAACAGGATCTAGAGGGTAATGACAGATAATTCACTGACAAATAAAAAAATATATGGGCAAAATAAATATTAAGATGTCTTGACTACAGTCAATAATATATTTTCCTTTTTACATATCATTTTCATATTATTCTATCTCTTGTTCACTGTCTCTTTTCATGTTCCTTTCTTATTATTTATTATTATTGGTTTTATGCTTGGTCTAACTTATGAATCAGGACTTACTGTAAAGAAGAGATAGACAAGTGGAAAAGTGGCTTGACAAGGAAGTGACCAATAGATTTATGATGAGAAATCAATATAAAGATATAGAAGATTACAATGAAAACAGGATATCATATTAACTAGACTAAAGGGAAATATTTTATTACTAAACCAATACTAAACCAATGTTTCAAGCAATTCAACACCAGCACGCATCCGAAAGATGGACCTGATTTCTGCTACCTAAATTCCTGACTCGGAAATTGCACTGTAGCGAAACCAAAAAAACACTATCCTAGTTGCCCTATCAACAAATATTGTTCTGGCCCCAGGGAAGAATTAAGCTCAGTATTGGGGGGATTTACTATTGTGGGAAGGGATTATTCACAAACGCTTTGAGAGACAGCTACGCTAGCTGTCCACCAGCCCGAGAAAGAGTTCTGAGCACAACACACGCGCACGCGCACGCGAACACACACACACACACAATATTCTGGCATGGCATTCGCAGTAAGGTTGTGCAGGAATGCCAAAACGGCCCCCGTCAATAGCTTGCGACACAGGCCAACAGCGGTGTCAAAAGAGACAAGCACATGAGCACGCGAATAAGCACGGCTGCCTACCAAGTCGCAGAGAACACATATCCACCAGGGCCGTATTATGGCAGTGCTGGATCTTGCATCAGCAAGAAAATGTGCATGGCATGATAGGTTGCAAAAAAACAGCCCTGAAATATAATATGTCTGCCAAGCCCTCGTGGGCAACACAACACACACGCACATGCTAGCTGCTGGCCATCAGCAGCAACAACACAACTTTATTTATGAATCCCACCTACCTTGAACGTAGCCTCTAATCACTAGATATATCACACAGCTACTAGAAGAGCCAAATGCTTAGCCATTGTAGCAAAGACATGGTCATAAGAAATGAGCCAACTGCAAACGCAAACTACGGCTGGTACTAGTAGGAAATGTTGTCGGGGTCAACTGCATCCCGCCGTAGCCTACCCATCTTTGCCAATAGTTGTCTGTTTATTCCGCGCGCCAGCAAGCTACAAGGAGAGTCTGTTAACCCACTCGAGAAAACCGGGTCTTGCAAATCAGCTAGTGAACCTGATTGTCAAACTGGCAGGCTGCCGTTTTTTGTTGTTGTTGGGGTGAAGGTCGTGGAGAAATCTGGGAACGGTTCAAACTTCCAGCTCAGATCACCCAAGGAAAAAGCACATGCCACCCTTCTGGAGCCTCTCGGCAGGCCACGAGAATCTGCTGAGGGGTGCCCTGGATGGTGACGATGCCTGAGGGCACCACACTGATTTGAGTCCAGGCATGTCTACAGTTCTTGCATGTGAAGTTGGGCCAGCCGAAGTAAGAAGCAGAACGACCAATGAAACAAGCAAGAGCAATAGAGCAAGCGAATACAACCACCACTCATCCACGCAGCATCGTTCTCCTGAAGTTGGCTTCGTGGGGCTATTCTGATAGGAGAGTCATCTTCCACGGTGATGACTGTCAGCAACTTTGGTCGTCCCAACCCCAGGTTGGGTCCTCGCCGCCGAGGGAGAGAATGGGAATGGGTTCAGTCAGAGTACTGGCAGTTTCAGCTTGCCGTGGTGCTGCGAGTTTGAGACCCACAAAAAAGGAACAAGCACATTGCGAACTCCAAACGAGCTATAACAAGGTACTAGCCAATAGACAACTTGTTAAGCATTGCCAAACTGGAGAATCGCCAGCCGCGGAACCAGTTCTCCTTCCAGCAAACAACGGATGTGAAGACGTCTAGGCCTTTGGAGGACTTTGACACGTACCCTGGACGGTACACCGCTCCCAGCAACTGAAACCAGCCCGCAGTGCAGCTCCATGGGGTAAATTAGAAGTCGGAAGCCGAAACGCATCTTCACCTCTACTCTTGAGGGTGAGGGCTAGCAAACCCCCAAAAAGCGCGTTGGAAAGATGGCAGCGCTAAATGGTTCCTTCCTGGCCCAGTGGCGATCGCTCAAGGCCTTGGGCGTGTCGCGCTCTCCAGAGACGCTCCTTGGATGCTCCCGGAGCCAAAAAAACACAAAAAAAAGACAAAGGATGACATGGGCAAATGTGATGCGACCCCTGCAGATTCCACTTTCAAGGCAAAGGTAATAACAAAGGTAGGGGCGATGGCCGCAGCGAGAAACACTGGGAGCATCCCACGCTTCTCCAAAGCTGCGCCTTATGGAGGTGCAAAGTTGCGACGTATGGAGGTGAGGAGTGGGCTCAAAGTGGCCATGACGGATTGCTGAAAAGCCTCTTCAAGTTTCACCTGAAGGGCAAAGGTAGAGAACACAGAAATGCTCTCCTGGTGGCAAGGACCAGAGAAGGCCAACGACTCGGGCAAGCTCGAGTGTGATACCTGCTGCTTTCCCGTTTGCCCCCACTTTGATCTGGAGGGGGCCTTGTACTGTACTCACTACATTCACATCTGAAGCAAGCATGGCCAAAACCAGCTTTGCTACCTCAAGCTCCGAAAGCAAATTCCAGCTCTTGCCGCTACTGGGAAGTTGGCCGCTTTGCGTCTAGCACTCAGGAAGCTCGCGAAGGAAGAGCTTGCTTTATCAAGAGCCATTTCATCAGAGTCTGACGTTTACCTGTGGTTTTTGCCCATAGAGTCCCTCTCAACCCACTGATTTCTGATGAGTTCAAGCTTGACAGTAGCTAATGTTCACAGTGGGTCGCAGTCAAACGTGTTGGGAAAACTATGCCATGGCAATCTTGGGAGTTCATAGGGAAAGCACTGTTAGAAGCTTCAGCCAACCCCCAAGACACCATGCCACCTGCTCAGTCGGCTGGCAAGCGCCGACGCCTTGTGACTTCACACCTTGTGGCTCGCAAAATGGCCATCGCGAAGCACCTTTGGCCCGCCACGAACCAACGTCGAGCATCTTGAACGCGTGCGCACAAAAGCGTACCTCCGCCTTGGGCTCAAGTTGGCCAGCAAGCCTACGCAGGATTTGGGAGGCTTGCTGGGCCCCCTTCAGCCGGTTCGTTGCTTGAAAGGCTCCATTTCCACAAACTGTGAAACGTGGATAACTCCAACAGCCACCAAATGACTTGCCGGAAATGACTCGCCCCAGCCCCCTTCCGTGCCGAGCCGCACCTGGGCCTTGGATTCCTCGCAGATCTGCCGTACTGTGGTGCCACCTCGGCCTGAGGCTCCGACAATTTCACCAGGCAAACAAAGCCCTCTCAGGGCTCAACAGGTGCTTCTCTGCTGGCTGGCTTGCTGGCTCGCTTCCTTGAACTTGTTTCTCATCTGTTGCTCCCTTCTGAAAACAGGTCAAACAAGTTCCAGGAAACTGTGCCCAATGACCTCGCGCCACGAGGCCAACCATCCGCCAATCATTTTGACGGGGGGGGGGGGGGAAGGGGCTGCTTTTGTGCAGGGAAGAATCTGTCGACTGACACACTTGATTTGCAACTTGAGGATAGCAACGCTGCGCGAGCAAATCTCAGCTCATTCCGTGACCAGCCCAGGAACTCCGTTTGCAAACGTGTTCTCTTATGAAAGGAAAGCGAAAGGAAACCAAAGGAGACCACGAGAAACCGAACATACCAAACCAGTTTTCCACTCTTGGGGTCTAGTTGTTCAAAATGGTGGGGCATGCCTAATCCGAATCCCTATCTTGAACAACCCTCGGTGTTTTTTGAGGTATCCAGTTGGCTTGAAGTAAAACCAAACGAAACAGTCCCTCATGTGTGTCTTTTTGGTTGGGTGGGCGGGGAGGAGGGCAACCGCAGTGCCTATAAGGCCATTTCCGATTTTTATTCTTCTTTTTTCTTGTTGTCTTGTCTTCCTTTTTGTTTCTTCCGGCCCGAGGTGCCGATGATGAGCCCGGCCGCGTCCGACGGCACCAGGCAGAGACACGGCAAAGACTCGGACATGGCAAAGGGGCCGATGGGCGCCCTAAGGTAATCAGACCAGACAATGAGGCCAAGTAAGTTGAGTACCTAAAATATGAACGTTTGATGCAAGGCGCCAAAAATAAGATTTCCAATAAGTTGAATTGTCGTTCAAACAAATGAAGCACACCAAGCAAAGTTGGAGTGTGTGTGTTTTGAATGTCTTGCTGCGTGATTCGCATCAATATGAATCTATATTACGAACAAGTGCTAAACTACCATGTGCTTACAGGACTCGTGGTAGCTCCTTAGCTCCCTATGAAACAATTTTGAATACTCCCAGCTGTTTGCTGCAGGATCAAAATTACATCTGACGCTCAGTGGGGGGTCGATCAGCTTATCCCTTGCACCCATCTGCAGGCAGGTTTGGCCATTTGCCACAACATGATATCCCAATGACTCACAAATCGCTCGCTTGCCAATGCCCTTGCTTGCCAAATCGTTGCCACTTTGGCTGATCGGCCATCTGATACGTGCTGACGGCTGCAGCTGACAAGATGCCATGGGGAAGTGGGTTGAATCAGCCCTGGGCATTGGCTCGATGCCCTAGGCATGACGCTTCCTTTGGCAAGCACGGTATTGGGATTTCATCAGAACTCACATGTTTCAAGCCAGTAAACACTGATTTACGCACAAGCTGGGACTGAATCCAATGCAAGCCCTTCACCAAGTCAAACAGCACACTGTTCCATTGAAGTATCAAGTTGGTGCCTTTTTGGCTGGTTCTCGGCGAGCTTGAAAACGTCACGTCTGCTAGGTGGGAGGAGCAGGAACATCTTGTCACAAAGGCAGCGCATGCCAGCGAGAAGGCAAGAGCGATGTGCACTGTGCAGTTGCTTGTACCGCCACGCGTTTTATGCCGGGCTGGTATACCGGAGTCCGATGGCATTTAACACCATTTGTGTCAATTTTCAGGAACCTGAAGACTTCAGCCAAGGCCGGAGGCACTAGATCCCACACTGGGCTGAGATCTCGTCCAGCCCCCAACCAGCCCGCATCCCTGAGTGCGGTCGCACCGTTGAGCCATCGCCCATGTGCAACCTGGAAATGCAACGAGAGCGGAAGCCCCGGCGATTACGGCAAAGAAGCCCACTGCATTGGGCCATATTGGGCCCAGTCCTGTTGAGAAGCATCTGCGTTAAGCTGATGGAAACTCAACAGGGAGAACTCGATGAATCGCGGGTCTCTCCAGGCCCTCAGGGAATTCTCCAACCAAGACTTGCCTTGCGGAATTTCATGTTTGGCGTACACTTCTGTTCAAACCGGCGCGACCGAAACAATATATCCGCATTGACAGATATGCCCCCTGCCACACGCTACGTTCTGATCCTGCAGCATGCCTAACGTTTCCAGCATTGCACGTTTGTCCTCCACTGGCCAGAAGAGCATTTGTGTTGTCCATTCTTCGAGAAAACGCCAAACAAAAAGGGGCCAGTTCCTCATCCTGTAAAGTAGGACTGTAGACACGTAGCCGGAGGACATGGGCAAACAAACCATTCAACTGACCTGACAAATGCGTTCACTTGGGACAGTTAACTTCAAGAGGGCCACGCCGATGCTGTGCTGCTTCCGCAAGCTGCTTTTCTGCCGCCGCACTTGTGCCCTGCACTCTTGGCGATGCGTAGCATTACACATGCAAGCGGCATGACCTCCCAAGCTGCTGGCCGACTAAAGGCTTGGGCGGTAGCCGCTGCATTCCTACTATAAGCCTGCCAATTAAGTATGTACAGAAAGGTGCCGCCGTCGTCGCAGTCATATGCTGCACCTAGGCTGCAACTGAACCTGTCGGATTCCAACGGCCGACCGTGGCTGCACGCAATCAGCCGTAACCTTTGTTGCTGGTCCACGAGGCACAGAGAGAGAAAGAGAGAGAGAGAGAGAAAGAGAGAGAGAAAGAAACGTTAAAATCGGTGGTTACTTTGCTTACAAGTGCAAGTGCTGTAGTGTTCAAACAAACAGTCAACCAATGTAGTCTGCAGCTGCCAACCTTTTGACTCATGCGGAGTAGTAAGCTCAAGGCCTGCGGTAGTGAACATACATGCAACAAGGGTGCAAAGTGAAGCATGTAGTTTGACACGGCCCCTCAGTTAAAAGGTCTTTGTAGTACCTTTTCAACTGAAGTGCAAAACATGGATTGACAGTAGTGATGAAAACCATTGTTGTTCATCAATTCTACTGTATTGGCAAAAGTAGTGACCTGCGCTCAGTAGTTCACGCTGTTCAGGTTCCAGCTCGATGTAGGGCGCTGGACGGAAGTAGTGAAGGCAGGCACTCGTTGTAGTAGAGCAGGAGCTCAAAAGTGTAGTACCCAGTTCTGGGTGCGGTAGTCTTGGACCTTCTGTAGTCGACTGTCCAAGGTCGCGTAGTAGTTGGTGGTGAAAAAGTTTGTCATGTAGTTTGGAGCTCCCCGTAGTCGCTCATCGTCAATCTCGGGACACGACATGTGTTGTTCGTAGTCCCGTAGAAAGCGGTGTAGTAGTGCTTTGTGGTGTTGTGTGAGGTTGGTCATTGTGAGTAGTGTGAATCCGTAGTATTGGATGCTTTTGCAGAGGATTGTAGTGATTGCTTTGTGTTGGTAGTCGTGGAGTTGGTCTCTGTTGTAGAGGTAGTGGAGTAGTTCAGGTAGTAGTAGTGGCATGTGGAAATTCCAAACGTAGTTGTTCCTGAGGCTGTAGTTGTCAGTGAAGGTGGCCATGTTGTAGTTCACCTTGAAGATGGTCTGTGGCAGTGTTGTAGTCGGGAGGTAGTAGTTGTGTTGTACCGACATCATGTAGGAGATGTAGTCCCTTGTGAAGTGTAGAAATTGTCCTGAAGTGAGGTACCTCAGGAGTAGTGGTTGTTCAATCTGGAGTTGGATGATGACGTAGTTGTTGTTGTCGCCAGTTGTAGTGTGGAGTGAAGTCGTGTGGTAGTAGTGGACGTTGGCTGCTTCAGGTAGTGAAATGCTGAGCAGTGTGGAATTGTAGTGTGGCATCCGAAGATCTCCAGGGATGCAGTGAATGGGTCGTGTGTAGTCCAGTTGTGCCAGTGGAGTAGCTTGTTGTTGTGAGAGTAGTTGATACTCTTCAAGTGTAAATGCAGTGAAAAATTGCGTGTAGGGAATGTTGTTGGCCAGTGGTGGTGCAGTGGTTGTCTGGTGCTCAGTGATGTGTAGTTGGTCCATCACTGTGGTCGGGTTGTAGTAGACGGTGTTGCCAGGTGTAGAATGGTTGAAGTGGTAGTTGAAGTCGTTGTAGGTTTGAGGTGGTGGAGTTCCATGGTCACTGGAGTCTGTAGTGACCGCCACCTCTGGTGTAGACGCCCTGTCGGGTGTAGGCGCATCTCCCATCGTAGCATCTGCAGTAGATGGAGCGGCCATGGCTGCAGTGGAATGCAAAATGTAGTGAAACGGGGCAAAACAAATGAGCCTAAGTAGTTGCTACCAGGCAGTCGGCGAATGCAGACATGTAAAACAAACAACTGTAGTGTTGACTCAAGCCGCCAAAAGTGCAAGTGAAAGTACATGTAGTTACTGTTACTTACATACCAAAAGTGTCGTGTTACATGTAGCTACTTACATACATGAAATGTCCAAAGTCGTTGTTGTTGTTGTTGTGAAACTGCTGTGCTGGTCGTTCGTAGTGCTAGATGCGTATTCCAATGCTCTGGATGAGCCTTGTTGTGGAGTGTGTTGATCTTAAGGATTCTGATGATGTCGTGCTTGATGAGGTCTTGTGTGTAGAGGAATTTGAGGTCGATGTGTTTTGCTCGTTTGCTAGTGCCTTGTCGTGTGGCAATGCTCTTGCCTGTTGTGGAGTCTGTGTGGATGCGTAGGTTTAGTTTGCTGCAAATGTTGGTTTCAAGTAGGAAGTTTCTGAGGTGGAGTCCCTCATTGACTCCTGTGCAAATGGCGTAGAGTTCAGACTCTGCTGAGCTAAGTGCTATTGTAGCTTGTGTTCTGCTGCCAAATGCAACTGTTGTTCCTAGAAAGATGATGTTGAAACCTGAAGTTGATTTCCTGGTAGTAGGGCATCCTGCCCAGTCGGCATCGACATGAACGTCGAGATCCAGGATGTTGTTGGTGTTTGCTCTGAGTGTTGTTGTTGGTTCTATGGTGAATTTGTAGTGCTTGGTGCCGTGCAAGTAGCGTAGTAGATGTTTGACTCTCTTTTGTGAAAGTTCTGTAGGTGCTGTGAGGTCTCGTGCTAGTTCTTTTGTGGAGTATGCAATGTCTGGTCGTGTGTATGCTAACCATTGAAGTTTGCCAACAATTCTTCTGTACCTTTTGTGTTGTTCGTGGTCAAGTAGTGCTTCATCTTCTATTGTTGGTTTGTAGTGTGCAATTCCTGGAGTGTTCACTGAGTTGCAGTTGTTCATTCCAGACTCCTCGATCATGTTGTCGATGTAGGAGTCCTTTAGTCCAAGATTGCAGTAGTTGCCGAAGTGGTCGATGTTTCTTCCAAGAAATTGTTGTGGTTTGCCAGGTTCGAGGTAGCCGATGTGCTTGAGTAGTACCTGCTTCTGGACGGCCTCGAAAGTGGAGTCGACTGCGGTCTTGTCTCCAAGTACTAGTAGATCGTCCACGTAGACCATGATGTAGCAGTCGCGAGTCGCATTGGTGTAGACGTTGGGTTCTGACTTTAGTCTTACAAAGCTGAGCTTTTGTAGAACTTCAGCCAGGTAGTCCTGCCATGCTTTCGGTGAACTGCGTAGTCCATACATGGCTTTCTTTAGTCGCCAGATTTTGTCCTGTTGTGGACAAAGTTCTTTAGGTGGCCAAAGGTAGACGTCACGTTGTTTACCGTCGTGGTCTTTTGCGATGGGTGCGTGTAGAAATGCTGTAGAGACGTCACCTAGTCGCGCGATCCAGTTTGGTCGTGACATTTGTAGTGCGAGAAGTGTCCGGAGTGTCGTGAACATTGGTGTAGAGGCGTAGACGGAGTCTTCGTCCTCGATCTTCTCGGTGTAGCCTTTTGCGACGATTCGGCTTCGTACTCCTGGTCCTTTCTTTCTGTGTACCCATCTTGTAGGTATCGCTTCTCTGATGACGTTGTCGTCGACGGTAGACGCATCTACTTCGTCGTAGACGTCGTGTAGTTTCATTTGGTTTGACTCGTGTTTCATTCCTTCCAGTAGTTGTGTTTCGTCGCAACCTTCGTTGTCGAAGATTATGGGTTGGTCTTCTGAAGTGTCGTCGTTTGTGTAGGGAGTGATGGATTTTCCGTTGGGAAGTGTCACTGCGTTGATTTTCTGTCGTAGTGGTGGTGGTTCTTTGGTTGCTTGTTCCGTTGATCTGATTGTAGTGTCCTTTGAGGTCTTCTGTGCTTTAGTTGGTTGCATTACTTCTTCCGGAGTTAAACGTCGTAGTGTTTGTCGAGGTGGTGCTGGTAGTGGTGGATGTTGTCGTCCAGTTGGTGAAGTAGCCATAGCACTATCCGGTAGCGGTCGTGAACTTGACGTCGATGTGGACGGAAGTCGTGGAGCTCGTGTAGTGCGTTGTTGTTTTGTTGCGGGTTCTGCAACGATGTCGTCCGTCGCATTCGTTTGTTGTCCGAAGTCTTGCGTGGACCTTCTTTTTTCTGACGGTTGTAGTTGTGTATCCAACAGTGTTGCGAACGATGGGTTGTAGGTGTTCCGTCGTGGTGCCCATGGTGTGCCGGAGACTTTGTTCAACAGTGCGAGGTCGTATTTGAAGTCCGGTTGTAGTCTTCGTACTGTTCGTACCTTTTGTACGCCTGATTCCGTTGCGACGTAGTTTTCTCCGGTTTCGGAAACTTTTCCGAGCCAGATGCATTTCTGCATCCGTAGGTCTGCTTTCGGAAGTTTCTTGTGTTGTGGTGGAAGGTAGAGTAGTGTCTCGCCAAATTCGCAGATTGCTCGCTCGTAGTTTCTTCCCCAGCGGCGTTCAAAGCTTGTGTAGCCGTCTGAGTGAATGACGTAGCGATTTACCGTCCATGCTGCATGTCGTACTATCCAAGGTAGTAGACAGTGCTTTGTGGACATCGTCATGCTGTAGTTGCTTTCAACCTGAGCTTTGACGACGCGGATTTGTCCGAGAAGTGTTCTATGTAGTCGCTCAACGCTTCCTTGACTGTTGCTGCTGTAGGAAGGTGAATGTCGTACACTCATTGTGCCGACTTTTGCTGCTGTAGCTTTTAGAAGTGCGTTGAGTGTGTCTTCGTTGTCGCTTTGTAGTATGCCTTGTGTTCTTCCGCACTCAAAGATGAATGCTTGTAGGTTGTTGACCATGTAGTCCATCATTGATGCTTTGTCTGGAACCAATACTGCCATACACAGTTGTGTAGTAACATCAACTGCTGTAACAGCTGTCAGTACCGGTGTGGTCTTTGGGTCTTGTTGTGACTTGATGTAGGCAAAGTCTACTTGAATGACAGGTTGTCGTGATTGTTGTTTCTTGTAGTTGTCTTGGCGTCCTTTGCCTTGAACGCAAATTGGACACCAGTTTCTGTATGGTAGATGTGTAAGGTTGTGTTCTGCTATTTGTTGTGGAGTGGGCTGCTGTGGTTGTCGTAGTCCTCTTGCTCTGTGTGCTTCATGATGCTCGTGTTGTTGTTCTTCATCGTGGTTCTCCTGGATGTACTCGTAGTCTTTCTTCACGGTGAACCTTGTTGTTCCTTTCCATTGAAATGGTAGTGCTGCGTTGCCCATGACTGTCCAGTCATCTTTGCGTTGTGAAACTTCTCCAAAGTTGTTGTGAGTGATTGTAGTTCTGTAAGGTTCAAGTGTGTTGATTGGTGGATGTCCTGGTCCATCTGTTGGAGTGAAGAGAGTTGTTCTAAGCGTTGTGTGGTGTCGTATCCAGTGTTCACCTTGTCTTTCCCAGTAGTCTTGGTTGTCCTCCTGTGCTGTGAGTGGTCTGTGTATTGTCTCCTTTGGTTGTGTGGTGTCAAGATTTGTTGAAGGTGCTGCTTTGGGTCTCCATATCTTTTGTGGTGCTCGTAGTTGGATCTTTGATCTGGTTGGTGGTGTGTCCATTAGCCGTTGTGGTTGTGAGCTCTGCCTTGTTGGTGTGGTCTTTGATGTTGCTCTGCGTGTAGGTGTTATCTTTCTTCTGAATCTGGTTTCTCCAGTCCAGTTGTCACCTTCTAGTCTTCGTTGTAGTTCTTGCTTGGAAAGTTGTGTTGGGTTCTCTTGTAGTTGTTCTTGCTCTTGCCCTTGTCTGTTGATGATGGTTAGTCGCCAATCATCTAGTTCTTCTTCAGGTATTGGGCAGCCACTGTTGTGTGGTGTGAACAGTGCTTTGCGTGGTCGTTTGTGTACTCTGATGGCGTAGTCACCATCAAGTTTCCAGTAGTCAGTGTTTCCACCAAGGATCTGTCGTAGTCCTTGGTCTGTGTGTATGAGTGGTGCGATTTGTTCTTGCTGTTGCGCTGCTCTCTCTGTAGGTTGAATCACAGCAATGGATTTTCCATTGTCTGTAGTCATTGGGTAGATGTCGAATCCTGTAGGAATGTCGATCTTCTCTGCTCGTAGGTAGAAAAGTCCTGAGTGTCTTATGAGATGTGCTTGTTGTTGTCCATGTGTGATGGTGCAGTGTCGTGGAGTGAAGTCAAGTCCATATCCTCTATCAAGTAGTCTCGATGCGCTGAGGATTGGATACTTCACATCACAAACGTAGTAGGGTATCATGATCCTGAAGTTGTCCTGCTTGTAGGGAACGTACTTGATGCCGTAGACTGGAATCTTCTTGTTGGTCACCGTGTAGAGTTGTGGAACTGATTCTCCACAGGGTCGTAGTGGAAGATCCGGTGCGTAGTCCTTTGGGCAAACATGTGTAGATGCTCCTGAGTCGATCAACAGGTGGTGGTATGACTTGAAGTTGGAGTACATGATGTAGTGGGTGATAGTGTCCTCAATCTTCTTGTTCCTTTGTTGTTGTCTTGCTGCTGCTATGTCGAAGTGTAGCTTTGTGGTGTCTTCTTGTAGGAATTGTTGAAAGCTCTTGCTGTGGTCGTTCCATGATGTTGTGTGTGTTGTTCTCTTGCCAAGTAGTGATTTGGATTTGTGCTTGTGTAGTCGTGAGTTTGCTTGTCTGATGTGTCCAATGGTGAGGTGTGACTCGTTGATGCCTCCAATGTAGTTCGCTGTGTCCTCATAGCTGTTGTCATTCCAATCCCAGCTGTTGTCATAGTCGTAGTCGTTCCAGTTCTCCTCCATGTAGTTCACCTCATGTTGTCCTTCTTCTCCTTCGTAGTACCAGTCCCAAGTGTCGTTCACATCCTGAGGTAGTTCATCATTGTTGTCGTGATCTGCTTGTTCTTGTTCTAGTGGATGTAGTTCTTCTCCTTCTCCTATGTGCCATACCGGCACTCTGCAGTCTTGTGCCCAGTGGCCGGGCTTGCCACATCGATGGCATGTTGTGTAGTTGTTGTTTCCTTTTCCTTTCGATTTGCTGTAGTTTCCTTGGCCTTTGTAGCCTTTGCTTGATCCATATCCTTTGGATCCTGAGTAGCCTTTTCCTTTGCTCTTGTTGTATCCTCCTTTGTTGTAGTTTCCTTTGCTGCCTTTGTCGAGTCCTTTGTAGTGTCCTTTACTCCTGTACTTGCCTTTGCTCTTGCTTCCTTTGTAGCCGCCTTTTCCTTTTCCTTTGCCTTTGTAGCTTCTTCCTTTCCTCCAGATGTTGTCAACATCCATTGGTGCAGCTCCTCCATTGTAGTTTGTTCCTACTGCTGAAGTAACTCTAGTGAAGGCTGAAATCGTTTTGTAGTAGTCCAGGATGAGTGCTCTGATCTCGATGTAGTTCGTGATCTGTCCAGCTCGCAGTTGGAGGTGTTGCTGCAGTGCTCCTTTGGTTTTGTTGAGTAGTATTGCTATTTTGATTCCATCTGGTAGTGCTGTTCCATTGTCTTTCTCGTAGCGGTTGATGTCGTATTCCCATTGTAGAAATTGTTCTTCAAACTGCGCTTCGTTGAATGTGGGTTCCAGTAGTTTGGTAAGGTAACCAACGCTCCTTGTTCCTACTGGTAGGCTGAACCTGTTGTGCAGTAGTCGTAGTGTTTCACATCCGTTTGCGTTGTAGCGGTTTTGCCTTACTACTGTAGCTGCTGCTCCCTGACAGATGTTGATGAGGATGTAGTGTAGGTCTCTGGAGAGGTCTACTGCTTTGCTTGCTTGTGTAGGGTCGAGTATGTGTGTTCTGATGTCTGTGTCCTCAATCTGTCGTGTAGCCACTTGTGCTAGTTGTAGCACCAGGTCGAAGTCTCGGTCTATGAGGCCGAGGTATGCTTGTAGCTTGAACAGCCATTCTTCATACTGGGAGTAGTCACCAGTGAAGAAGGGTGGTGGCAGCTTGTATCTATGTAGTCTCTGAACGTCGTTGTCTTGTTCTGTTCCTGCTCCCGTAGTCGTGGCTCCTACTGTGTCTGCTGTTGGCCCGTTCTCTGCTCCTGTAGTTTGTTGTGCTGAGGCTGATGCTGCTTCTCCTGACATGTCGTAGTAGTTTGGCATGTAGCTGCTGTTGCTCTGTTGTTGTAGTACTTACTGCTTACTGGAGCTCCCCTATGTTTAGGATCTCAGCTCCGCTACCACGTTAAAATCGGTGGTTACTTTGCTTACAAGTGCAAGTGCTGTAGTGTTCAAACAAACAGTCAACCAATGTAGTCTGCAGCTGCCAACCTTTTGACTCATGCGGAGTAGTAAGCTCAAGGCCTGCGGTAGTGAACATACATGCAACAAGGGTGCAAAGTGAAGCATGTAGTTTGACAAGAATGAGAGAGAGAGAGAGAGAGAGAGACGTGCCAAGTAGCCAAAGGCAAAGCTCAAAGCAAGCAGCAAGCCGACAATCGGGTGAACCATCCTTCTGCAACCGAAGATCTGGGAACCCCCAAGAAAGCGACCTTCATCCGTGGAGGTCACAAACCCTTGGCGATGTGGCTATACTTGGCCCAGAAATATTTACTGTGAAGCCGGGGGGAGGTTTCTGCCCACTGCGTGCCGCTAAGATGCAGTCCACGGAACGGCTCAACTGGTGCCAATGCTCACTCGCTCGAAGGAGCTGTCCGAACCTTGGCTGGAGGGGAGAGCTCATATATCCTGTATCTGACGGGGACATCATGTCGTTGAGAAACTTACGAATTTGCAGCTGGCGTTGAATGATTACTCGGCCATTTCCCTGCAAAACCTTTGGCGTGGTAATGTTGGGGAATGACTGGTCGATGGCTAGGCAATGCAAGCAAGCGTTTCCCCAATCTAACAATGAAGAAAGGATGGACATATAAAAAACAACACATGTGCTTTCTGGTCGAAAACTATGGCTGCCCAGCCCTGGCAATACTAGAGCAATACCAAATCAATACTAAAACAACTTTAACCAATACTGCCAATACTATATAAACCAAACCTAGGCCAACGCTAAACCAATAGCAAACCAACACTAAGCCAACACTAAGCCAGCAAAACCACCTGAGCTCCCAAACAGTCAAGCTCTTTATCACACTCTATACTTAAACAGCCTCCCAACCAGGTGGAGGGAAGCCCTGGACATATTTAAGGCCGGAAGAAAAAACCTCTAGGCCAAAGGAAGGCTGAGCCAACACAAAACCAATGATACTCAATACCAACACCCAAGCAATATTCACAAATACCAAACCAATACTAGAGCAACAGTGGCAACAGTAAACCAATACAAAAAACTGCTGAGCCAGTATGCGTGATTGCTGAGCCAATACTCCACAATTCAGTATGGGGCCAGCTCAGAGGAATGCTGAACCAATTTCAAGTCAGTACTAAGCCGTACTTACACAGAGGCGTGGCATGTTTGCCTAAACAGGCCCAAGTCTGACCCCCAGATGGTTGTCAGGCTTTCGTCGGTTGACCTCGTAAGGCCCCTCAAATAGATCACTGCCCAACGTTGTCATGACGGTATCCCGTTTTTTTTTTTTTGCCTGCGTCGTTTTGCTATCTACAGTGTTTTGCACACCACTTGGGCAGCATGCAAGAATGAAAAACAAGTGTAGTACTCCAAGAATCCTTGAAGATTTCAAGCTCTCGGAAATGTGCAAATATCTTAGTACCACGTCTAACGCGCCGTATGAAATTTGCTACTGGCGACTCTCATGTCTATTCGGCTTTGGTGTCCCTGCGGGTTTATAAGTTCGTCCGGGTGGATTCATGCGGGGTGGCTCTCCAAAAAGTACGTCACGGATTCCCTAGAAAAAGTTGGACGGCTTCTCCATTGCCATCCAGAGGTTCACAATTCTGAAGCCCAGGCGCTAGCATCGCTGACCTCTGCGGCGAATGTGTCAGTGAGCACCTGCATGCAAGTGACAAAGGCCCAGTTCCAACGGGAAAGGACGTCTTGCAATTTTCCCGGCGAGCTCCTCAATCAATGGACTTGCACCCGATGCAAACTGACTTAGGATCTGCAATGTCCAGTGCCAACCCGGCACCGAGACAACGACAAACACCAGGAGGTTGAGCCAACCAACAACCAATCCATGTTTACCCCGTCAAGTCACCAAGCAAAATTGTTGCTTTTCTCGAATTCACGGTGGCATTGCCAATACTGCCAACAACATGCGACTTACGATGTCGTGGCTACTCCATTAGCGTCGTAGCCAGAGGATGCCCTTGCCGCATGGTGTCAACCAGCAGGTTTCTGGAGGTCTTAAAGCCCACCGCCCACCCCCCTTGAAAACCGGTCTACCCTGATAAAGAAAGCCATTCGCTGGTCGGAATCCAACTGCAGCATTCCTTGATTTGCTAGTTGCAAGCTCATCGCCCAGGGTCTCAGAAAGGAGAGGGCTATAAAACAGGCTTCAAGATCAAGTCATCAAGGCAAGCAATTTTTGTCTGAGTTCAGGCGGGGCCCAGGTTGGTGGGCGAGGGGAAATTGTCACAAGATGGAGGCGACGGCAATCAGGTCAGGGTCTTCTGCGCAAGTCAGTTTCGATCAAAATCCCTCAAGTGACCTCACATGCGGCCTTGGCTGGATGCATCCAGAAACCACTTGCTTTACAAGGCGATCCTCTAACCAAATCAGCTGTGGCCCAAATGAATCTTTCAAGCACCCTGGACAACTGCAAGCCCAATGCTGAAGAGCCACAGACTTAGATCCTGCAAGAAGCGATCCAATCAGCTTGCGCAGCTTGTCTTCCGAACATGTGGCCGTAGCTGTCCTTGGCTCTTGGGGAATGGGTGCCGTGGTTGTGCCATCCTGCCGCTGCCCTCCCCTCATGTGCTCCAGGCAGAATATGCCCTGCACACTCTAATGGCCACTTCCAAGGTTAACCCTTCAATAAGCAAATGCAGACGTGCGGCTATCATGGTCGACAAACATGGTTGAAGCTGGCACCCTTTTATGACCTTGCCCAAGCTTGATGTCTGCTTCTAGCTGTTGCTTGGCCATTTGGGATGTGATAAGCTATGGGCAACAGGGTGAAAAAAAGCAATCCCGAAACAAGCGCGCACTGGCGTTCGACATTGTTTACACCAAAGATGGCACAAGTCCCTTTCTCTGGGTATATAAAAGGGGATGAAAAAATTCCAAACGGTGGAAGTTGTTGTTTTTTGTACTTTCACCCAACCAATAATGCCATCGGGATAGATTGGCCAAACCACTTGTTCCACCCCTTTTATAGGAGTGTGGCTTGCAGTGGGTCGGAAATGGTAGAAGGCCTCCATGATAAGCAAGATTCATCAATACCTGCCCCCGAAAACAAACCGAGCCTACAAACCTGAGATATCGAACTCGGGAAGCAACCGCAGCACGGCTTTGCACCAAGGCGCTTGATCTTCGTCATGTCACCCGCATGCGCCTGAATGAATTCCATTGCCTTCACCACGGAGGCATCCACAACTGTGAGGTCCTCCGTGACCATGAACTTGTAGTTACCAGGGGCCAGCAAGCTTGAAGACATAGGTGATGCAGCAGGTGGGGGCGGAACCAGTTGGAACGCCACATAGGCACATCCGGACGGACACTGGTTGCTGTGTATGAAGCAGTTGCTATTCAGATTGCAAGTGCATGACGTCTGTCTGCAGCACGAGTTGCACTGATACACTGGCATGCCAGTTTGGGCCTTCTTGAGCTTCATGGTTTGGAGCAGCTCGGTTGCACCGGACACCTCTTTCTGAGCGATGGGGTTGCCAACCTTCTGATCTTGAAAATAGGCCTTGTCCATGGTCACCAAAGACCCCGACAAGTTTGTCAGGGGCCCGGCTCCTCAGCTCGCTCGCCAGGTCTTTAATCAAAGACTCGATGTACGCCAAGCGCAGCTGAGTGACCATGTGCGCTGCTCTTTTGGCACAACTTCACCAATCCTGGCGCGAAAGTTTCAGCCGCACATCCCAAGCTCGCCCCAAACAGTTGCCTTCAAATAAGGCCTTCTCTTCCGATGTTCCTGGTACTGTTGAAACACACGATACCTGAGCATCAAGACAAATGCACACTGCGAGAGGAACATAACGACTGCCCGAAGCATGTGTTGATTATTTCATTGGCTCCGTCTACCCTGTTGAGTCAGGCCCTGCGTTTGCCTACGCCAACAAAGGCCCCTTTCCAGCATCGCTGCCTGAAAGGGGCACATCCATAATCGCGAACAGCCACTCGACGAAGTCGGCCTTGCTTTCCTGGCCCGGCTGATGCAAGAGCACAAACGTGCATGTGTGTCTGAGAACCCACACACAGACTCTGTGTGTGGGTTGCAAATTTAACATGGGCGCTCACAGTGCTGGTTCCTCCTGCCTTCCTGCATGGGTGCTCTCGAAATTGGGCTCTGAGAAAGAGTTGAATAGTTCTCCCTGTGAAGCCAACCACGCATGGGTTCCCAAAACAGACACACACACACACACATGCATAGAATCATAGACCGTTGACTCATTATCACTCACTGGCATGAGGAATATGCCTCGAACCAGCAACCTCGAGGCACGCCTTTCCGCACACCACTCGTAAGCCCTCCGTACTTTTGCAGGTAGTGGCACATATGCATTCCCGAAGCACGATGCGTTAATTGCATTGCAAGCATCCTGATGACCCGGCTTTCCGCGGCTGCTCTCCACTGCCACTGCATGCACTTGACAAAGTGCAAACAAAAACGACTGAGCTTTTGGCGCACAACATGTAGTGGCAGCTCGGTGCTCCATTGTGGGCTCAAGCAACTAAGACGAGCACGCCAAACCGAAAATAATTACGGAGCCCAAACGAGCAGCGCACATCATTTTACTGGGCACCATAGAGATAGCCCAGAATCCAAAACATGTGCCTTTAGCCACAGAGATAGCCTTTCGGTATTTGAGCGAAAGTGCTCAGATTGAGCGAGACCTACAAACACAACAGGCCTAGCCTTTCGCCACGGAGATGGACGGTGTGATGCAATGGCAAATTGAAACCAGGGCCGGGCTATCTCCGGGAATACCACGCTTGCTGATGAATTAGTTGGGCTATTTCATCAACAATTTTATAGGAGAGGACCTCATATGTTGTTGGCCGGTTTCGCTCTGTCCAAGGGAATGGTCCGAAGAGTCAGCACGAAACGCAGTCAGCACATGTCACAAGTAATTGCAGCGCACATGCAAATTCTCTCCCCAACCGGAACTCGTTAAAGCTAAGGGGTGGAATGCAAAACCAATGCCACCACATTAGCCTGAGATTCTGTGCAGGAAGGCAAGCTATGGCTACGTGTTGCATATAGCTTTCACAGAAACGGACAGAGACAGCCCGCAGATGCGTCTGGGAAGGCGAACAATGGCAACAGGTTGAAGTCGCAGAAAGTTCAATCACATGCCCTCAGGCAAAAAGCCTCAATATGCTTAATGTAATACGCGCTTTTGGGGACAAAGATGGCCCCGTCTAGCCTGCGTTCAAGCATGAAGTTGGGGATACGGAAGTAAGGTAACCCTTCCGCACCTAGTATAGAAGGTGTGCTAGCTGTCCACCAAAAGAGCCCGGGCGATGGCCAAGCAAATGGCGTTCAGCAAGCCACCCACCCGCCCACCCATTCACCCAGCCAAGGCTCCAGAAAAATGACTTTGCCATCTGGCCCCAGCACTAGCTGCACCTCCATGCCGGCAAGTCGAGTTTTTGCCTTCGTGCGGCTGTGAGCTTTTGAGCCATACGGCAAGGCATTGGACCGAGTCTCGCGACTGCAAAGGTCAACGCCAAGTAAATTGAAGCAATCCAGACATGAATGCCAATTGCACTACACTCACATGCTAAGAGGCCTCATGTGCACCCACCCAGTCATCACTCAAGAGCTTACTGCCCGCAATCGGCAAGAAGCACAGCGCAGGCAACCAGACAATTGTCGTGAGTCTCACATGTTGTGACTTGCTCGTGTGTATGTATATATATATAAATATAGATATATGTACATGTGTAGAATCTTCATCTGCGGGCAAGTCACATAATGTGGTCCTCGTGTAGCCGACGTTGGCCTAACAATCGCACACACACACACAAGCGCTTTGGCCAATGCCTTGTTCTTTCTCAAAGCGTGCTCCACTTGGCATCTGGCCTTAGCACAGTGGCCTCAAAATGCCAGCGCCCTGTTTGCCAATCCTGCCACAAACGAAGGCATGTTCGTAGCCCTGGACCAGACTGCATGCGTCTGCTTTGGCTCGGCATGCTGCAGACTGGAATGCCTGTACTGAAGGAGCACACTACATGCCATCACCATGGTGCAAAACATCATTATATACAACAAATGGACAAAGTAACGCATGGTTCCCTCCGGGATTTCTTGGACATCCTCGAGCGAATTAGAACCTACGTTGGACACAGAAGCAACAAACACGGGCAAAGTGGAGTACCCGTCAAGCCAAGTACACAAATATCAACTTTCCTCTGAAACCACCGCCAAAGTGGTTGGTGGACACACAATCCTTACCTAGATGATGTCTAGCAAAGGGTGCCAGATCCCCGGCTAGAATGCACACCCAACAGCTGAAGAACCTCAAGATTTGTGCACTGAGATTCAGGCATGGCCACGAAGAATTCTTTTGCGAGCCATGGCTGGAATGATTTGGAAGATTTCCACAAACTCTCCACTTGAACTGTGCTTCCTACATGCACTTCACTCTAAGCAACCAAAGCAACCTTAAGGCGGTCAGCTGAAACCAAACACGTGGCAAAGTCCCATTCCAGCTGCGTAGTGCCAGCTCGCAAGAATTTGAGACAAGCTCGGAGGCCATGGGTCAACATCAGGTAGCTCTGCTGTATGGCTACTGAGCCGAAAGCACCGTGAGTAGGCCAAGAGCCTATGTCAGGCACCTGGCCGAAGTCCCTCAAAGCCTTGGGTCCTTGTCGGCCTGCATGGCACATCCTTCGGCTTCTTCCTGTCGGAATGAGACGCAATACTCCCGCACAGCGAAGCAGCGAAGCAGTGCGGCAAGCGGTCACTTGTCAAAGCTACGCAGGCCGGGCGAAGTCAGCCTGGATGCGGAAGGGCCGCTTGGGCCAGCTGCAAGACGTGTAATCTTGCAGCTTCACTTAAGGTCATTAGACCCAATGCCTACCGCAACGGCTGTGGGGTCACTTGCGACCCGCCCATCCGGTCACTTGCGACCCTGGGTCACTTGCGACCCGTTCGGTCACTTGCAACCCGAAATCGGGTCACTTGCAACCCGTCAGGTCTGGGAGGTGGGGGCGCGGGGAGGGAGTCGCTGGCTCCAGCAAAGGGAGGGGCTCAGCACTGCATCCACGCCTACCACCTAATAAGCAAACCCGCTCACGTGCGCCCGCACAGCACTGCACAGATGCCTGCCACCTAGTAAGCGCACCCGGTGCTGCTCACACGCACCCGCCCAGCACTGCATCCACGCCCCACCTAACGCACGCCCGCTCACGCTGCGCGCATGCACTGCGTGATGTTGCGTACGATGCCGCGCAAGCATGATGTTCCAAAAGATGCTGTGCGTGACATGATGCTGCGCGTGACGGTCCCTCTCGCGCGTGATTTTGTGTTCATGGGGGGGGGGGGCGACTCTCTCTGTCACGGTACATCGAGAACATGGTGCCTGGGACGCGGGCGGGCCTGCATGGGTGTGGCGGGAGTGCGAGCGGGTGTGCGGCAATCTTGCGGGCATGCGTGATTTCGTGGACGCCGTGTGTGCGGGAGAGTCGGTAGGTATGTGGATGCGCAGGTGGCTGGGTCCGCGAGCGCGTGGGTGCGTGGGTGTTTCGGCAGCTGCGTGGGCGTGTGGGCGCGTGGGTGTCTGGGTGCCTGGGTGCAAAGGTGCGCGGACCTCGCGACCTATGGCAACCCCTGAAAGGGGCATAGCAACCCCAAGCTGCACGAGGCAATTGTTGCTGGTCAAAAAAAAATCGGGGAAAAAGACCTTCGCTAGCGAAGTGAGCACAAGCTGTACAGCCCGAATGCACTGAGCCAGGGTAGGCGGCGCCTGATGATCAAGCGTTTTCGGAAGTGTCCACCCAGTGCTTCGTACACCGCTTGGCAGCAGCGACGAAGGCCAGCAGCTCTGCACGGTTAACCGATTGAACAGCGCCCGGCAGCAAACCTCCTGCAAAGCATTGGTCATGACCCGAATGATAAATGCCCCATGCTGCAAGAGCGAGTCCTGGGTCCTGACTCTGAAAGCAGGAGCCATCTGTAAACAAATGCTGAAGCTTAAAGGGCACAGGGGAAACCAGGAATTCATCCGTGTGATCAGGCGGCAGGTCAGCACGTGCTTGAGCGCAGTGTAGTGTGGATTGCTTGAGATCATGCTGTCGCGTGCAATTGGGGAGCTGATCCCACAGGTCGCAGACCCAAAGTTTTCGGAGCGAACGCATTGCTGTAGTTGTGGAAAGCAAGGTCGGCAAGAATCATAGCAATGATGCTCAGAATAACCGTTGTTGGAGTGGACTGGGTCCGAGAGGTCGTCCCTGACACAGAAGCGCGTTCGGTTGTACTCAAGGAAAGACCTCCAAGGCTGAAGGAGGTCCAGGGAGATGCCCAGATTTCTCGCAAGTAGCCAGACTGGCTCCCGTTGAAGCGTCGTTTGAAGTCGATGGAGAAGCCACATGCGTTGCTTCCTCCTTGGAGGGACAGCTCTATGAAGGATTGGACTTCATAGATGAGTTGGGTGGTTTCACGTCAAGGGATGAACCCAGATGTCCGTTGAGGAAGGGGAGCAGGTGCTGCATGGCTTCTTTGGCCTTCAGGGCATGTGCGGTAGATAAGGCTGTAGATGGTGATCGGCCAGTACTGATCCGCTGTGGCAGCGGCGGGAGTTTTGGCGATGCGTCTGACAACTCGCTCAAGAAGTTGACCGGGCCAGGGTGCATCTCCGCTTTCAATGGCGGCAAGGAGGCCAAGGAGTTGCGCCGTGAGTGCCGGTGGCATGTTCAGGAGGTCGAGTAGAGCGAACCCCTCTGCGTGGGCCTTGTATTTAGCAAGAGTGTTTTGCCATCGTTGAACGGTGATTGGCTGGAGCTGAAGTTGCTGGCTGGGCCCTTCAATGGGCATGAATGCCGCGGCAAAGTTGCTAATCCGTTCAAGTTCGGCCGAGGTAAACGTGCTGGCGGTGTTCCACTTATGGGAGCATAGCGCAGTGCATTCTTGCTGGATGGCTGAGGTGTCGGAGACAAAGTTGATTAGCTCCAGAGGTGGTCCGAGTCAATGGAGACTGTTGTGGGTGTAAGCTGCTGGACACTAGCAGGAATCTACAGCCAAAATGGTGTAGGATCTGTCATACCTGAGCGAGTCAATGGTAGCGGGGGCTGGGTCTTTCAGGACCTTCGCCAGCGTACCAAAGTCTTCGTCGAGCTTAAGCTGGATGGCTTGGTTGCGCTGCCTCAGACGCCAGGATTCGTATTTCCGGTAGTTGGTCCTGAAGTCGGCGAAGATCAGGCCAAGGGTAGCAAAGCAAACAACCCGAGTGGAAGCAGCGGGGGGCTGCCTTGCAGTTGTTTCTGCGGGTCCACCACGCTGGGAACCCACCTGAGAATCCTGGGCTCTTCGAATTGATGCCCAGAGTTGGACTTGGTAAGTGATAGCATCAACGTCAGCACAGCCAGCTTTCACAGCATGGTGCCATGGAGGCTCTGAAGGCGGCGTAGTTGACGGTACCAGTGATGGACCGAGTGAGAGACAAGGTCCGAGCAGATGCTTTCCTCCCCTGGGCAATGTGGCCGAGGGGGAATTAGGGCAACTGGTAAGCAGCGCGGCTCTAGTCGAGAGGCCCGGCCACGGCAACGTTTGGGAAGTTGTTGTCCTTGGAAGTTGAGGACGTGGCTGTCAAGTGAGACTTCATCGAGCTGGCCGAAGCTAGTGAGCCATCCAGTAGAGTCGTGGACTTGTAGCGATCGCGGGGAAAACCTGTTCGTGCCGGGCAGGTATGTTGACCTGCTCCCACGGCACGGAAGCAGTTCTAGGATCGGGTGAAGCATGCCTTCGTGGGAACGGCTATGCTAACTAGAACTGTAGAATGTTCTTGCCAGGAGTCCTGAACGGACACTTTTCTGACCAGGGACGCGGCTTCCGGGGAGAGCAGCACGAAGTCGCGCTGCGTTGCTCCTTTACAGGTTGGGAGCGGGGTTTGTCGCCACTTCAGCTGAGCGAGGGATTGCGCTTCAATCCACCCGAGGGAGATCCATTGATCGAGAGCCTCAAGCTGTTGGAGATCATCGTTGAAGTCTCCACATACAATTCTCGGGCCACGGCCGCCAATGACGATTGATATGTGGGTCCAGCCGGATACCCATGGACAGAAGTGGTTATGAGAGGGCGATTCACAACATGGTGCAGTGCATGACGGTGACGATTCGGCCAGTGTCACACACACTCCGTTCTCGCAAGGTAGTTGTACCTCTCGACAAGGGTAGCCGGAGGCAACCAGAACTCCTGTCCAGGCTCCGGCCCAACTTGAGTTTGCCCGCAAAGGGGCTGGGGCACCTGTGATGGCGCGACAAGGCTGCCCGAGCGCTGCTTTGCGGTCGCCAGGTCGTGCTCGCCGCCGGCTTCTTGTTCTTCAGGACGCCTTCGTACTGAGAGGTTCCAGCAAGGTTCTGCGCGAAGAGGCGGGCTGCTTGGTCCACCAGCTTTGAGTCCTTGTTCAGGAACCCATGCCTCGCTGGATCGACGCCGACATCGAAGCCAGCGCAGCCCCCAGCGTGTTCACCTGCGTCAGGGGACCCTGCGATGACGCTGCTGCGGATGGTATAGCGAACCTGGCCGCCGAGGCTATACCACCCGCTGTAGCGGGGTCAGTGGCCACGCCCCCCGGCTTCGCCTGGTTGTAGTAGCCAGGGGTTGAAGGCGCGGCGAGCCACCCGGCGGTGGCTGGGTTCCAGCCGTACACGGTACCTGCGCCACCGGGGGCTGTGTCGGTGTCTGGCCTGAACCCAGTTTCGGCTGCGAAATCCTCAATGGCATCCCGCTCTATCTCACTTCGCCTCCGCTTGAGCCGAACCATCCAGGACTCGGTCTCGAGGCGTTCATCGGATTTCTGCTTTGCCTTCTCAAGTTGTTGCCGCTTGTGCGCCCACACTGCCTCCATCATCGGCGAAATTGGCGCCCCTGGCATCATTGGCCTCGGCTGTGTTGGGGTGCCGGAGAACATATTGGGGCGCCAGGCCGGGGCTGAAGCCGATCGAATTCAGGTTAAAGTTCACCTCTTGAAGAAATGGCGTTCTGTGCTTGAGCCAAAATGGCTACGGAGGAATAAGACGCAATAAAACATCATGTGCGCCAGCAAGCGAAATTCCCGTAAAGCAAAGGACAAAACAACATAACAAGTGGCAACTGCTGGAAGTGACAGCCTCAGATCGATGTGTCAGCCGATTTGCTGCAAGCAACACCACTTGCTTCCTCAATCTCAAGCGGTTCTCATGCGTCGCATTAAAAAGAACATGCTACATGCAAGCCACGCTCCCTTCACAGGAATCTTTCTTCAGGCTCCATTTTGGTTGGCCACTGCTCTCATACGGTCCGTCTGCTTCTTTTCGCTGCAACACTACGCGCTCTCCTCGAACCCACGGGATGGCGCGCCCTTCAATCTGGCAGTGGCTCTGCCACGCTGCCAAGAAGTGGCCTTCCCCAGACAGAATGCGAATGCTTGGGACTTTAGAGCCTTGACTGGACCAAGGGACCTCATGAAACCGGTCTTTGCCAACTTGCAGCTGCACAGCAAGTAATACGAACCTGAGCAGTTGAAAACGAGCGGCAAACTGAGGTTTCCAAGGACACTACGTCCCCCACCATCGCGTTCTACCATGGGCAAGTGCATCAACTCTGCATCAAGCAAATCAATCAGTTCACACCGGGCCGGCTGGCTGCAGAAGCGTCCCGCTTCAATGATGGATGGCTACAATAGCAGCGATTTGCTCAACACCGCACATCAGACTAACAAGCCAAAACCCGGAAAAACAAGAGCACGGCTCAAATGCCCAACACGGGGCCAGGTAGTTTTGTGTACTTGTGTTGATGTTTGCCAGTGGTTGAATATTATTTGCAAAAGGCTAACTAGTTGCTTTATCCTCTGTTTGTTTGAGTGACCGAGCAATACAAGGCCATACAAGAACATTGCCGCCTTTCGCTGGTCATGGGCAGCTGTGTCACGCCCTTCTGTGTCTGTGGAAACGCGATCCACAAGGCATATTGATGCATTCTTGCTGACAGTCTGTTAAACGACAGCTTTGCTGTGTGCTTCATGGTAGCCTTGAACGCAATCCCTGAATTGTCGTCTGTCATAGCCTACCGGCCCGCACAAGGAGTGCGGTCGAAAACCGCATTAAATTGCAGAATGAGATGCTCTCTCGTCTCAAGCAACTGAGCTCGAGAAAACAGTCACTAATGTCAGAGCTTTTGCCTTCCAGCAAGAGACGGAGAGGGACAAAATTGGATCTGCCTCAACTGCCGAGAAACGGCCGGCAAAAAAATATCGAGACGGAAAACTAAATCAATGAGCTGGCTAACTGCACGATGCCACCGTACTTGCAATTCTGACCACTGCCTTGGCAAATGCTTGTGCAAGGCAAGCACGCCAGTGGTTCCGAATGAAATAGACTAATGTATCTGACTGAATTCATGACATGGCCGTCTTGTAAGCGTTTGCAGTTGAAATTAAACGTGTGCGATAGGTCAATGGATTTCCCCTCATGCATAGATGTGTAGATGCAGTGCGCCCGTGCATAATACAAACAAAAACAAGCTTACTCATGCAATTGCATGATCAAATAGATGTGGGCATGCAAACCATGATGCAGTATGTATATGTACAACTCTCGATTTAACACAACGCAATGAATACATGCGCGTTTTAGCTGGACTTTCGCATACGATCACCTACACATCTACATGCGCCCGCTGCCGTGCCCAATAACATGTGCTAGTAACCTCCCACATTGCGGGCATAGCAAGGCCAGATTGTTGGAGGGAAACAGTAACACGGCTGGGGAAAACAAGCACTACCTACGCGCATTGGAAACAGTCCTCTATTTGCCTCTACTATCGAAGAACAAAGAAAGTCATTGCATGTCTTTGGGGCAATCAAAATGTCGTACACGCTGGACAAGCACTGCAAACAACTTAATCTCGCTCTTTCGGTGACATCCTGAACACGCTGCGCGTTTGGGCGCTCCCCTTGGGGGAGGCTTGCACGGCTTGGGTTTCAGGGTGGGGTCCTTTCGCGTTGGAAGCGTGGCCAAAGACAGACAGAACGTTGCCGCTGCGGCAGCCCAAGTCGTCCACTGACAACATCAGTGCACCTGGTGAAGTACGGAAACACTTTGGAAGCAATACAAAAGAACCTTCATCATGGGAAGAGCCGCGCGTTTTGCGCATAAAAAGTACCCCCTCTTGGCTTAACAAACGGCTTCCTTGACATTCTGGATGTCTGAAGATACCATCGGCGATCAAACATCCAGGACCATCACCGCATATCAAAATGGAACCACCACCATTCGCAGCAGCGGCTGGCCCATTTGTTGTACTTGGCCCGTTGTTTTTGGTTGACCCCTAGTAAAACGAGGGCTTGTACAATCAAAACGGGTCTCTGGGGTAGTGTAAAGCCAACTTAACTCATCATAGGGCAGGAATGCTATCAACTCCGGCAGGCCATAGCAACACGCCCTTCCTCGGAGTGGAATCCCCACCCTCCGGAAGCGCAGGGCTCAGGTACCGCATCGGTCTTGTTTGAAGATCCTGGCGCAAGGGTATAGAGGTCTGGCAACTGGTGAAGGGACACCACGGGAATTTCAAATATTTGTTGTTTCTACCCAGTGTTGGTCCTAAGGCTCGGAACCAGCGCTTGAGATGCCGTGGTCAGCATTACCAGCATCTTTCTTTCAAGAGCAAGTAGCTTCAGGGAGCGGCGCTTACGGCTAGGGCAACTGAGCCAACTCGCATCCATTGATGCAAAACAGCCAGCTTTCAGCTTCTCTCCAGTTGGGATCTAATTGGTGGTTTGGATGGTGGTTTGGAGGTTCGGGTAAAACAAGGAACCCTTTTGGGATTTGCGGGGAACCGAACAGACCCCAACGAAGTGGTCAGTGGTTAATCCCGAACACGGTGATAACAATGCTTTCATGTGGAATGCTGGCAAACGAAGTCCACAAACAGCTTTGTCATATTGTATCTTTTTTGCGAGCAGCTATGACTCAATATGTTACAAGCATGTGTTGTCATAATACTGCTCAAATCCCATGGCAATCCGTGTTAGGAAGGCATCAACCTCACTGCTCGAGCTTAGCAAAATGGGCTCAGATTTCGATCAGCCCTGCAAATTGGGTCAAAACTACAACGCGTGGCTGCAGCCACTGTTGCGCAAGCACGCGCTGCTCGCCGGAGCAACACGAGTTATATAAGCCCTCCATCTCCATGGATGAAAGCATCTCTGGTAGCTGCATCCCCCTGATGGATACGATGCCAAGCTTGGCACTAAAGGCAGGCGACAAGTGTCAAGCTTGCCTCACTCTCGTGGAGTTGCTGCAATAGGGCCGCCAGCCTGCCAACCGGGATGGGGGAAGAGAGGGGGTGCGGAGGCATTTCGTAACATGACCCTTTCCAAGGCAAATGTGTTCAGTGAATGGCAAGGCCTGAGAAGTTGATGTTGAGTCACAGAAGGCCTTCACAAAGAGTTTGTGGCAGGCTTGTATCAAGGCTACCCCCTCCATAACTTGACTCACTTCTTGACTGTCATGTTCAGGCTCATATTCCACCCATACAAGCGTTTGAGGAATTTTAGCGCAGTAAGTACCCCTTATAAAAAGTGGAAGTATTCATCTCTCCAGGGCCTATATGGCTCATGCCCTTTGGAACTGCCTGACCTCTGACGCAGAATGTCCGCCAGGATTGAAAAACATACGTAGCACACCCAACTGGCAAGCACCTGTTCTTCACTTACCCGGCGGTCTTGGAACACATGGCTTCTATATGTCTTGACTTAAAGGTCAACGGCGGACTTTGTGAAGCAATCTGACCCCTCGCAAGTCAGAACTTCCGAACTTCACAATTCAACATCTGACGTGGACGGCCGGTAAGTCAGGGAGCACGTGCTGTCGATTGTTTGCACACCTTTGGACCGGCGAAAAACAATATGCCTCCCCCCTCATTCGATACGCAAATTGACACGTTGTAGCTTTTTTTGTTCCCCCCCTCCTTTGTGCGACAAATAGCACGTTGAGCTTGCGTGCAAGGTTTGTGCGGGTCTGAGAACTTCTGAGCGTCTTTTGGTGCAAATACCCGCCCTGTCTCACAAATATGTGTATATCAATGTGTATGTATATATATATATATACATAAATACTCACAATTTTGATTGCTTCCGAATCCGGCCCCAAAATATATCATCAACCCATCAGATGAATAGGGGTGTTCACCAAAAAGTGAAGGATTGCCTCTAACTTGAGGAGCGGGTGAACGAAAGCTAGCAGTTGTTGCATGAGATGGGTCGGTGACAGAGTGGATTCAGAGGTAGCTTGTGTACAACGAGAGGCCCGGCAAGAGTCGTAGGATGCGACACGCAAACGCACATGGTAGCGTGGCAAACCTTGAAAAATAAAAACAACGAGAGGCGTCAGAAGCTGTCTTAAAGCACCTCTGGGTTCTGCATGCTGCGTGTGCAAAGATTCTTGCGAGGTGGTTTACTGAGAAGACTGAGGTCTCAAATGAACAAGCTGAATCGGTGGAACATGTAAAAGTTCATAACACCAAGTCCAAAACGGGCAAACCGAGACTGCTGAAACACTGAGCCACTGCCCGGGGGGAGGGGTGGACCAAGGAGGAATCGAGCCTGAGACGGGGGGGAGGGGGGGGGGTCTAAACAATTGTTTTTTTTCAATCGGCTCGAATAATTGAAAAAATCAATCTTTCGGCGCCCCTTACCTTGCTTACGCAAGGAGAAACTTCAGCTAGCTAAAGCTAGCTTTCGTGAAATGATAGACCTCCCTAGTCATACTCATCCCGAGGGTAAATATGGTGTTTTCTTCAAAACTCATCGCATGTCTCACTGCTCGACAGGAGCAGCTTTGGGCATGAAGTTCGGTAGTGTCATGAATTCTTTCACGGAGGCGAGGTTGGGAAGAGTCAAAAAAAGTGCAACACGAGGGCAAATCGGCGCAACAAAGTGCAAAGCAAATGCAAACGAGCGAAAATCCAAAACATGGTGGTACCGGGAATGGGTTCAGAGGGGTGCATGGTTGCTGACAACTCGAGCGACTGTTGTTGCATCTTGCATTTATTTTAGAACAGATTGTCACGAGCAGAAATACTGCGAGCAAACATTGATGTATCAATGGAGGCTGCAGGCACCATTAGCTACTCGGCTTTCGGCAATCGGATTGCGCCTTTGCGCCACCCATACTCGTACTGCCAGGGGGTCGCGCCTCACACCGGACAACGGTGAGCCTTTGGGCACTCAACACCCCGATCTGTGGGGAGCTGCTGGAGACATTGCCTGCAACGTATGCATTAGGCAACTGCCGAACACCTTGTCATGCCCCAAAAAGCTTTTCCCCAATGCCCCTCACTTCTGCTAATTGCATTGAGTTCAAACATCTAGCTATAAGCGCACTCCGGGTGCACCACACTCTGCAACTAATCAATATGACCTAGGTTCATTGGTGAAAGTCAGCTCATGTGTCAGCGTGCCTTTTCTTGCAAGCGAGCGATGTGCTTCCGCATAAAAGTCTCCAGTGCTATGCCTGGAGATTCATTTCTCGCTTTCCTATCGAATCGAAGGCCTGCAGGCTGGTGCCAAACACTCGGTTTGGCTGAAACTTGGAAGGAGCAACGCACCAGCATCATGGTGGAAAAAGAGCCGCTGTGATGAGATCCGGGCGACAAGAACACACAGTTTGCCTGACAGAATGAGCCAACCGGTACACATCGGCTGGCAAATCCATGAAATTCGGCCGTCGCAGGCTGTGGACCCTAAACCCACCCTACATCCCCCGGTGAAGCCTCAACTATATAGCCATAAGCAATGCTTAGCCAAGCCTGAGACATCTGCAAACCAGCCGCGATCAAACCCTAAACTCGAAACGCCTGAGAACCAATCCCAGCTGAAAAAGAAAAACAACAACCCTTAAACAATCCACCAACCCTAAACCTGCCCTAAACCAACTCGTAATAATAAGCAATCCTAGGCCTGCCCGAAGACCTGTACAGCAGTGTTTCCAGTGGACCCTCAACTCCAAAGCAACCCCAAAACCAGCCCCAAACAAAGCCCCTAGCCAACCCAAAAATCCGACACCAAGCCTGATACGCCAACCCCAACCCATCCCTCAGCGAGCCCTAGACCCACACCAAAACCAGCGCCACGCAAATTGTAAGCCACTCCTGGGCAACACTTATACCACTTACCCCCTCAACCAACCCCAGCCAGCCTGCCAGTCAGCCAGACCTGGCCTGTCAGGCCTGCAAGCCCACAGGCTGAAGACAACATCCCACGCTTGATTTGCTCCAGCTAAACGCCACTTTTCGCAAGCAAACTGGACCAACTCATCTTGGCAACGGTACTATGCGGAATCCAGTTTGCCCATCTAAGGTTTGCTGCTTATTCTTTGGTGTTCTTATGACATTATTCGACCTTCCGTGAAACCTTCTGCCGGCGTACTGGTTTTGCTTGCTTCCGCGGACACGCTGTTGTTAATGATGAGCTTCTTTCAAAAACCGGGCTAAAAAACCAAACCCACCTCATCTGCCCATCCAAAGTGACCTCAACCAAGCTCAGCTGACCCCAAACCAAACCTACAAACGCGAAATCGGACCTAAACTTACTCTAAGTACCCTGTAAGCCAACCGCAAACCAACCTTAAACCTTTCCTCGGCTACCTGAAATCCGGATATCCAGCAACTTGCGTTTGTTTGTCCGCACCATCAAATTAAACATTTGTTGCTTCAACATGCCAAGGACGCCCCAGGAGGCTCAAGCACTGTATTTGTTCAATGCTCAGCCTGGATTGACCCAGCCGAATAAAATGAGAAAACAGAACGGAACAACACAACAGCTAATACTTCATCCAAAGCATTCCGAACACCCCAACCATCTGAACCGTGCGAACCAACCGTCCCACCCCAAGCCCGTCCCGGCCGTCCCAGCCACTCAGACCGTGCCAATCATCGCGACCGTGTTGTCCAGTTGCTTGATTTGTATGTCTGAGTTCTTGCTCAATCTCGTTGATATTGTCTGAATCTAGTGCTTCAGTTTGCTGAACGTGTGTGTGTGTGTCTCTTCTCCGAATTGTGCTTGTCCAAACTTTGCTTGTATCTAAAATCCACGAAATCCCTTCACATTTTGGCGGCAAGGTCGCCAGTACAGGATTCAGCCGGCATACAACCTAGGAAGTCATTGCAGCAATTCATTGCAAGCATCAAACACCACCAGGCTGCCAGGTCAATCTGAGAAGTTTCCAACTGTAATCACACTACATCAAGCTAAAGCATCATGGCATATCATGGCGAAAAATAACTCAGATCAGTTTGATCATCTGGAAGAGCCTGAGGCCAACAACTCTAACTCTAACTCGTACAACGCCCCAGCGGCGTGTCAGAGCTATCGCTGCTGGTGTCACCGTCCTCCGGACGAGTGCTGCACAATGCCAGCAGCAGAACAACCAGCGTCAACGCGGCTTGGCACAAGGTCAGAAGCTGATAGACGCCCTCCACTCTCCAGCCAAGACAGGTGAAAGTTATGAAGGACACTAACCTCAGCTTTGCCGGCAACGGACTGCGCAACAAAAAGGCCCTGGGATATCCTAAATACGAAGAATGGCGCTAAGCAGCGGCAACATGATGTGCCATTCCACATGGCAATGTCTTTTGCAGCATCAAAACAACAAATTGTCCACAACCAATTTGGACCTTCCAAAACGGGGGTGAGGGACCAGTCCAGGCGTCGACATCTTATTGCTATGGGCTATGGTCAAACCATCCCCTTTAGGAAATGAACTCCGAAGGGCGCGCTGGCAGCAAATTAGCCTTTCATGTCCACGTGAGGTCTCTCTCAAAATGGGGGCCCTTTGATCGATCTTCACATGTAAATATGGTCAACCCGAAGCTCGCCAACACTTGGAGCGCTTTCCGCTTTTGCCGGAACGCCCATTTAGCAGGGTCCCCAGCGCCGAGTTCACCATGAACGCCACGGACACTACTCGCTCCGCTGCGGCCACTCGCTCGCTCTCCTGAAGGGTTTGGGTGTCCACCATGTTTGGGCTCTGAGGGGAGTCCGCAAACAATATCAGTCTTCAAAACATGCAAACCCCTCAAGGCAAGGGCTCAGCCATATACCCCAAAGCCAAGAACAGCCGGTATTGCAAATGCACCCTGTGCCCCACTTCGTCCATTTTGCCGCCCTGCAGGCACGTGGAATCTAGCGCATGTTTCGGCTCAGGGCCATGGGGCTGCACTGGCAGGGGTTTCCAAGTCTGGGCTCCAGGTCTTGCAGCGCTTGGATGAACCAAAAAGATGGAGATTAAGACCCTCTCACCTCCTGGGCAGAATCCCCTGCTTCAGGATTCATTTTGCCCTTGAGCCCTCAGGTTAGGTTTAGGGTGTAAAGTTGCCCTCAATCCTCAGTTTAGGGTGTAGGTTTACGGAAACAGCAGAGAGCGACTGCCAGGAAAACCGCAGCATGCGCAGCGCCGCGCAACGTGTGAGGTCTTGCAATGCATGGAACAGTTACGCGGTGAACATGCTCAAACATTGGCGGGGGCGAAGGGTTTTGACCGTGCGAGTCGCACGGGAGAAATGCCTCCTGGCAAACTACAAGTGCTGGTCATAAATGCACCAAACTGGTATGTGCCCAGCATGCATTCAGGAACATCTTTGACATGGTAATTAGTGCGGTCTTGTCTCTTAGGTAGCATATGCCAGTATCAGGGTCGAGGCTACGTGATTGCGCTATGTGTGCGTGATTGTGTGAATCTGCTATAGGCGCGTGTTTGTGTGTTTGCCTGCCTGCCTGCCTCCCAGGCTGGCTGGGTGGGTTGGCTGTCCGTCAGTCTGTCTGATTGGTTGTTTGCATACTTGTTTGTGTGTGCTTGCTTGATGGTTTGATTGTTCATACGTCCGTCCGCCCGTTCGATTGTGTGATTGTGCGCTGTTTGTTGCTGTTTGTTTGTGATTGTTTGATTGTTGCTCGGTTGTTTCTTTCTTTCTGTCTTTCTTTCTTTCCTCCTTTATTTCTTTCGTTCTTTCTTTCGGCCGTGTCTCCCAAAAGCGCACGTTTAGGCAAAATGCGCGCAGCGCCCTTGCTTGCGCATCATTGCTTCGTAATTAGAGGCGCCAAACCTGGCGCAAACCCATCAAGACTGCCTCAATCTGTCACATAGCGCATCTTCATTTTCAAGCACTTTGATATCTTTGCGCGCCTTTGGCCGCGGGACAACGGACCCACTGACACTTTTTAGAATTGCGCTCGGTTGCGGGAAATTGCGCTCGAGTTGCGGGAAATTGCGCTCGAGGTTGCGGAATGCAAACTGCCCCCAAAATGAAGTGCGCCAAACAAGTGCAGGTTTGTCAGGCTTCCACTAAACACGCGTTTGTTGCCCGAGCAGCACAGCTCCAGCAATTTCCTGCCCCACCCCCTTCTACACGGAGAGCGCGGGCCTTGGCAGAACAACTCACACACTCCAAGCATCCAAATCCCATGGAAGTAGATTTCTGCTCGAATTGCATAGTTTCCTAAGAAGTGCTCAAATGAGAAAAAAAAAGTGCTCGTATGAGCAAAAAACAGCTCGAAAGGAGGGTTTGCCACAAATTTGTGCTCGTTTGGGGGTCCAGGTTCTTTTATTTCTGTATTTATGTCTATCTTTATTTCTTCCTTTGATGCTTTTGTTCTTTCTTTCTTTCTTTCTTTCTTTGGTTGGTTGGTTGGTTGGTTGGTTGGTTGGTTGGTTGGTTTGTTTGTTTGTTTGTGTGGTTGTTTGCATGTGTTTTTGTTGGTTATTGTTGTTTCTTTGTTTCTTGGTTCTTTGTTTCTATGTTTGCTTCATTGCTTGCTTGTTAGTTTGTGTATTTGCGTGTTTGCGTTGCTGTGTGCTTAATGTCCAAGTATAGGACTAAACAATGCATCCGGAATAAAAACAAACGGGTGGCCAAAAAAATATATTAACTGCACCCGCCGCCCACGCCCAAACTTTTCCCCACAAAATATAAAAGACAAAAGAAAAAACATAAAAACAAGGAGAGAAAGGAGAGGAGAGATAGCCAACCAACCCAGAAGTCATGTTTTCTTACATGTCTCTTGTTTGAAACCTGCCCACAATCAATCCCACAACGGGGTAGTAACCCAGCCCCGATTTGACATTACTTCAGGGGCCCTCGAAATAAAGTTTTGGTTGCCTGCCCCCCCCCAAAAAAAAACAAGGAAGCTCTAGCAATACTAAATCAAGTGGGAGCTCAGTTCCAAATCTCAAAAGGCAGCCCCAGCAATACTAAATCAAATGGAAACTCAAATGTCCCAATACTAAATAAAAACTAACTTGAACCGGGCCGGATCTCAAGATACTTAGTCAGGTGCCCCCATTGTTGGGGGGGGGTCTCTACTCGGAGGTGGACATTAACTGTTTGTGTGTTTGTCTGATTGCTTTTGTGTTCATGTGATGGTGTGGTTGCGTGCTATTGTGTGTGTGGATGCACGCTTGGTTGTACTTGTATGTGTGTTTGCTTGGTTGGCTACTTCTCTGTTTCTGTGTCTTTGCTCTGTTGTATTTTTTGTAGTTGTGTGTTTGTGAGATTGTTTGCTCTCTTTGTTTGTTT